GTGAAGGCAAAGATGACTTTTTGGAAGTTATCGTCCGACGTTCTGGTTATCTGTGAATACAGCCATAGGGACAGTTCTATGATACAGCTCATGCTATATTTCATCGCTTCTTCTTGAGCACATTATTTACTACTCTAAAGTTCTAATTTTCCGTGAATCCAGTTCAAAGGACGCTTATTCTTAAAGTTGATAATGTCCAGATGAAATGACAGACGTTCATTAGATGTTTCACAAGTTTAGTTATACATTAAAGGTGATAATTATACTAATTAGAATATCTGGATTAATTGCCATTGTGGAGTGAGGAACTTTTATATCGGCTATCGGCTATCGGCTGGTGTGGAATGACCTATTCATCACAATACCAAAGTATTTTTTCAATCTATGCCAGGTTTTTGAAAAAATTCCCGTATAAACTTTAGTTTGAATGTAATATACAAAGGAAAAGTTTGAAGACTATCAAAGTGTATATCAAGAGGAATTTTAACACGTGGTCAATGGTGCAGTTGTGTAAGATTGAATCACACCAACCGTCCTGTGCTTATACGCCGTGACTCCCGTTCAATGTGTTTTACTGCACGCCAAGCCTCGAACACACTCAGTTAATTGCCAGGAACTATTGGACTCGTTACAGAAGCATTCCAGTGTCTTTTATTATAGTCTATTGATAAATATTACTTCACGTGCTGGAATAGTAAAACTGCTCGTGATTACATTCCATATTCAATTGAAGTATATCAGGAGTAGCAGAGTATCTCCTATTCATTCTTTGAACTAAAATTTGAATTCTTGTTCCTTAACAATTGATTTTTTACAAACTTTCAACATTTAAACTCTTGGATTGTGGAATAGGTTATAATGGGTTCTTTCCAATTTTGGTTTTACTTTGCAGTGCTCGTCGCTTTTGGTAAGTATTGCTGTGCCACTTTCTTATATCTATATAGAATTAGAATTATTTTTGTTGATTATATAAGTTCTAAAAGTATTAAAGACCTGTGAAGTATATATTCAATGTGTATTTCCCATAAAAAAAAATTGTCGTTAAAATTGGGTTTGCTGACGACAATCAAGATAGATATTTCTTGTATATTATTTAAAAGTTGAATTATAAAGTCTTCACTATTGGATTACTGTTAGTCGATTTTCATAGTCAAATAGTGTGAAACACAAGAAAAAAGAACCCTTCTAGAAAGATACACAAAGTTCAATCTGCGGAAAATGATTTTACAATGTGTATGCAGTTACGCTCTAAATGATGTAGAGCAGCCTATTTTCTTTGTCCGTCATTTATTCATATATTCTTTATATTGATTTCTAATTTTCATGCTGATTTTGTGACTTTGTTTTGATCTTGTGAGAATGAAAATGAAAATATTGAAATTGAGCCAAGAGATCAGCCTGTTCCAGACAAATAAAATTCAAATAACATTGTCTATATTATACCGGCACCGAATAACTTATAATAGGCTAAGTATACACTTTTAGATTCGCTTTCCTGTTACTATCTACTATTAACCTGGTGGTTAAAGGGATTGTATAGTACTTTTTTTAATGTGTATCTGGGACATTGATAACATCAATTGGCACCATTCCGATTTTCAGTCAGACGGCTGTAGTTCCTGCAATTCTATTAAAACTGAGCGCTTAATGACGTCACTATTGCAAAATTTGCTGATATCATATAAGGCCCTTAGGGGCTTAGTTTTAGTGGAATTGCAGGAACCAGAGACGTCTGACTAAAAATTGGAATGGTGCAAATTGATGCTATTAGTGTGCCCAATATACATAAAGATTTTAGAAAACCTCCTTACAATCCCTTTGAAAGCAATGCTCAGGTCAAAACGCAGTTGTGTAGTTTTCAGAAATGAGATTATTTTATCTGGGAAATGTCCACATAATACACAGAGATATCTTGGAAATGTCCAGAAAAGATTACCTTTTCGGGGAAATGCCTCGTAAGGAGAACGTTATCTGAGAAATGTCCGGAAAGGAAACAACGTTATCTTGGAAATGTACAAAAAAGGAGAGCGTTATTCTAGAAAATATTTAGAAAGGAAAACGTTATCTGGAAAATGTAGGTCTACAGAAAGGAGCTTGTGATCTAGGAAATGTCCTGAAAGAAGAATGTTATCTGGAAAATGTATAGAAAGTAAAACGTTATCTGAAATGTATGGAAAGGAGAATGTTATCTGGAAAATATCAAAAGAGGAGAGCGTTGTCTGGAAAATGTATAGAATGGAGAACGTTATCTGGAAAATATATAGAAAGGAAAGCGTTATCTGCGAAATGAAGAGAGTGTTATCTCAAAAATCTGCAGAAAGGAAATCTTTATTTGGGAAATGTACAGATACAGAAAGGAGGGGGTTATCTGGGAAATGTTCGGAAATGAGACAGCGTTATCTGGGGAAATGTCTAGAAAAAGGAACGTTATCTGCGAAACATACAGATAGGAGACTGTTATCTGCGAAATATCCAGAAAGCTGGCTAAGAAGAGGACACTTAATGTATACTTGCGTCACCTTCCAATCCACAGTGTTGTTTATTGTGCTTAATGGTGTCATAAATAACGATATCGAACTTGTTTGTTGAAATTAGTAAATGTCGAATGTCTATCTTGTCTGTATGGTATCACGATAATTATGTTTGGTGTATATTTATGGTCACTGAAGCCTTACAAGATATTTTATTATTAATGTCATTGTTTGTCGACTGGGTTCAGGTCGATAAAGAAAAACAATTGTTTTCTTTGTGGATTGTCAATTATACTAAGATCTTTAAAGTTAATGTCAAGCCTGTCCCTTATGTGTGGGCCCCTGTCTCAGGAGGTTAGAGTTTCAGACACTCTATTATTTAGTTATTAGTTTGAACCGCATAGGGAAAACCAGGCCTTTCAAGCATCTGACCTTTCCTGGGTTACGCTTTCAAATCGAATCCTTTCTCCGGGATAACCTTGTCCTTTCCACCAGTTACTGTTTTCATGATTTAAGTTTTTAAGAAAGAAATTTCTTTCTCAGATATTGTTTTTGTTTTATGACCCTGTCGTAGATAACCTAATAATCTACTTTTTTTAAACATTCCATTCCCACAACATTGTTTTTTTTACAATTCACTAACAGTTTGAACCATTTGAATGCTTTTCAGCAGCAAAAATGACATTTCGCAGCTTTTCAAAGGTTAAGTTTCGCAATCTTAGATTTTTTTTCATGAGGTATGTGAAGGTGAGGTTCTGTTAGAGCGTGTGAAGGCCGATGACCTTGAATAAGTCATCTTCACTCATAATTCCAGTCGGCCCAACTGTAAATGGGTACTGATAATCCGGGAGAGATCAATGCAAAGAGGTTTGGTCAAGGACCAGCTGGTAGAAAGGATTCTTAACTGTGAACCTAAGTTGTTATCCTTGTAAAATATAGTTGTTCGTATTGACAATATATGAGATTAATGATACCAACTGTGCTAATGAAGTGCCCTATACCCTTATTTCTGAAGTCTACTGCGGAACATCATTCCTTTGTTCTTGCTCTTTGGGTCTCTTTAATCGAACATGTCCATCTTTAGTGACCATCTGTTCTCTTAGCTAGAAATGCTATCCTTCTGGATATTGTTCTAAGATAAAAAAAATTCTTATCGGGCATAAGTTCCTAGATTAAGATGCTTTCCATCAAGTATACATTTCCCTGCTTGGTCTTGATCTGAAATGGTAAACATCCATTCTGACAAGAGTACACGTTGTTCCAAACACAAACTTCTTGGAAACGATGAATTCGTGTGAGATAACTTGCCTTTAATATTGGCATCTGTTCTTTACTGGATACAATTTATTTGTCGTTTTATTATCAATTTGGATTTGAGTTGATTTTTTTATATAAAAAACATAGAGTATTGGCATAGATTTATTGGCAAGAGATATTTTCTTTGGTTTACAAATTACGTTTCGTCAGATTATATAGCTGTAATAATCATCTAAATGAAATAAAATTCCATTAACCCTTCAGCCAATAAATAACATTACGACCTTCAGAATAATTATCCAGAAGAACGCTTTCAATGAATTAGCGGTCCGGGAGGGATCGAATGATTTGATTATTTCATTATCTGGTCTACCTTGGCTTCACATTAATTACATACGACAGAATCACAGCCACTGGAGTTCAGTGCCACCAATCTTAATTTTATCATAACGAAGAACTGAAAGTATGAAGATGCATGAGCTGTCAAATGTCCTCAAAGTATAGGATCATAGTCAGGGACGTATCTAGAAAATGCTCGAGGAGGGGGCCAAAAATGACAGATGTCTCCACGAGGCGAGTTCAGCGCCACCAATATCTCCTTTTTTTAATCAGAACGAAGAATGGATACGAAGATGCAAGATCAGTCTAATGTCCTCACAGTATTGGATCCTCGCTTCTATATCCTAGATTCTTATGCTCCCTTAACGTTGCATCTTCATAATGTCAAGCTATTACGAACTTCGTCTTATTATACCTTGACTGCAATACGTTGTAACACCGCGATATTATAAACTTTAATACAATTCTCAGTAAATATTTGGAGAATCTGGCTTCAATATCTGATTATACCCTGATTTGTAACCTCGTTGATTTTTGTCGGCTTTTAGGTGTTGGTTGTTTTTAAGAATATCTTTGAACGTACACATTTAAGGTTATTACTGATAACCTTTCACAGCTTGTGAAAATTGTGATTTTTCTTCTTCTTCTTTGAAAATTCGTTAGCATCAGTACATTATTCAGTCAATAAAGCTGACATATAATAAACTAAAATCCTCCAGATGGATGCCTTTAATAAATATGTACGCCACCATTGATCGAATTACCCCCTGACCTTCAGAGATATGTAAAGTATGAAGTAAACAGTGTAAACCTGTAATAAACCCCTAATAAACGCTAATTATCTTATAGATTGGATAATATAGCATTGACATTTCTTATAATCATTACTGATATTGATTCCATCTTGTTCGGGAATATTACTTTGTTTCTATAATGGCAGATTTACACTGTCTCTTGTTTCATTCCATTCACATGTATTCATTTCTTATCTATTTTAAACAAGACACGCAGCTTCGAAGAGGGTGGGGGACCTTGCAAAGGGGACAAGGGGGTATAAGAATTGATATTGAAGCCAATTCACGATGTGTGTCTTTCACCGGAGGTAGGGATAGTACCTCCCCATTTGCCTAATTCCGCGATCCACCACCAATCCTCACTCCTCCCGGGCAATCAAGTCTGATTACTGCATTAACCAGAAAAGTTGAAAGAGGTTATTTTGTATCAGAGAAGTCAATGGCATGGACTGTGAAGGACTTTTAGTTTTTAATTAATTGTTTTTTTGTTTTTTTTTTAAGCAGAGAAAAAATTGAAAAGATATGTATTTTTTGTAAATGTTTTGACATTGAGATTCCTTGCAGCAAAAATCTTTCAAGCTACTTGAAGCCAATCGATTTAAACTGGAATGACTGGAATTGTTTTGTTTGATTATGTTATTTCTTTTATTATTACCACTAATCGCTTTATTCAATAGAACGGGAAGTTTATTGCACTCTTCTTATCTTATACCGGATGTACCACCATGTTGTATTTCCTTAGCACCGGAAATATATTTACAATAGTCCGCGAAAAATATTTATTTATTCATTGATTAGTTGATTATAAACTGGTTGTTTATTATCTAACAGAGATTTCAATCAATCTTTGCTTCGATTTTTATTATGTCGGCTCCGCTTGTCTGATTTACAATAGATTTACATCGAGCCAATTCATTATACATTTTATTATTCATTTTTCAAATGATTCATACATGCATTTCTCAATGTAAGAATTTATTCATCTTACTTTTTTCAAGTTATGCATTCATTCATACTTCGATTCATTATGTCATAAATGTATTCAGTTGTTCCTACATATATCAATTTTTTTTATTCATTTGCACTTTTTACCCCTTTTGTCACTTCAATATTCTTTTATATTATATGAAAATTTAAATTATTTTATGACTTCTTTTGTTTTTCCTGAAATCATGGTTTCGCACTTTCGGATATTCATTCAATTCATTCATCCATTCATTATCAAATCAAGGTTTCATTCAAAGATTCTATTCTACCATGTATTCATTAATGTATATGTTTATTGATTTATTCACTCACTCAATATATGAACAATGTATTAATATACGTACACCTATCTTTTGTTCATTTGATGATTTTTTTTTATTTCCAGTCACCAGCGCACCACATCAAGATGCTTTCCGAGGATCCCATCATGTACCTGAAGATTTCCATAAGGTAAGGATTCCCAAGTAGAAATAAATGACTTTTGTCTCATGATCAAGTTAGGTTTTAGGTTTAGGTTTATAATTGCCAGTATCCTCTTTTGAAATCAAGTAGGATAACTGTCTGTGTATTATTGCATTTTTCTCTCCTTCAAGCAGTATTCTTATTACTATAAAGATGGTTAGTTTCAATTTTGCAGAAATGTATTCAAGATAAAGACGGAGTTTGGGATGTTTCACACACTATTTTGAACTACAAGACACTTCTACTGTTCTGTGATGCAAAGCTTAAATTGTCTGAAATTAAATCAAACTACTTTTAAATCACGAAATGAACTTAAGCAAATTTAGTTAATTATCTCCTTGGAATTTTCTAAACGTTTGGATTAATTTCATCGATAACATGTTGATGATTCTTTAATAATCTAAGTAATTGTTAAGAAAACTTGCTGAAGCCATCATTAGTTTTCTGTTGATTTTATTATTTTAGATAAAATACCAAGGACGTGACAAATTTACTTAACAGCTTTTCTAGATTCGGAAAATAATGTCTTTTATGTCGTCTTTATTAATCTGTAACATTACGATAATATTTCTCATATTTTACAGCGATTCTGATAAGAGTATTTCTTATCTTATTCAACAGTTTTATAGAGTATTTTATTAGGTTCCATAACAGTAAAATTCAGGAGATATTAACTTTACTCTTAAGCAGATTGTACTTCGTAGAATCGAACTGCTACTCAGTTTCTTATTTGAGTGAAGCATATTTTGAACCTTCTTCATTTGAAATTTCGTGATATATACTGTCCCAAATATCGCTGATCATTAAAACTAAACACCACGAGATCAATTCAGCTGAATTTGAGACCGTACAATCTCTACTCGAGTAATATTTTGTTATCTCAACCATTTTAATAGCAAGTGTTTACTTAGTTAATTACTTATTGACATTGCTCGTCCGTTTTATTTGACTTGAAGATAAAATATGTTATAACTCATGCAAGGTTTACACATAGATGAAGAATCATCGCGTGGTCTCATTTTATGCTTCTTTGTTTACAACATTATTAATTAAAATGCCAAAAGCCACTTTTAAGATCTATAACTAATACTAACTGAAATCTGAAACTCTCTATTTGTATCGAAAACCCCAAGTATGAACTGAATGTGGTTCAGCATATAAGAGGGTTATGTTCCTTTACTCGACATAAAATCTATTGAATCAAACAATCTTTTCAACAATGATGAGCGGTAAACACAAAAAAACAGTGATTGTTAATGAGGAATTGCTGTAATGATTAAATAGGTTTATAAAGAGAATCTGAGCGGCCCAATCATTAAGAACACCAAAGTTCATCTCATACGTCATGTACATTTACGAGTCAAACGGGTAATATTTGGACAGCATTTTGAGCTTTACGTCCATTCTTGCCCATAAATTTTATTGCTTATTTGATGAGTTTTATTGATTGATAAATAATGCAGCAGTCAATACTGACATCTAGAGTGAATGATATCTGAATAAACTGAATAAATAACGAAGATAAAAACAATCTGAGAGTATTTATTTCTGATTATTTGACTAATTGAAATGGTGTGCTTATTTTATTGACATCAAAACAACAACTATAAAAGCTTCATCACAATGTCAAGCTATTACAAACTTTGTAATTATACCTTTACTGCAATAATCACTTTTCTTGAATCATTGAAGTTAGTAAATGAAAGTATTTGATTAGATAGAACGCTTGCGAATGCAGCCAATCAGGTGCCTCTACAGTAAGTCTGTGAACACAAATCAATAAAGTTTAATATCTTTCTGTCGAGGGCTTTGATAGGCTGTATTCGCTGGCGTACAATGCAATCAAATCGCTGCATTCTGTGATACAAAACTAATGGCTGTTTCATTCAAGGTATAATTGAGTTATAGTTTGGCATTATGAAGATGCCATAAAATGTCATAATTAGGTACATCTGGTTCTAACGAATTCACAGTGATCACTTTAGGAAGCAGATACAATATTCAAGAAAAAGTAGTGATCAAATTATTTTCTCAAAATTCTCGGAACAATATACAAATATTTCACTCTCCAATGAAAAGGTGTATATCTTGTATCATAATATCAGAAATAATCTATTCTCGGGTTGTTTTTGTGACAGTGCTTTGACCAGAGAGGTGACTAATCATAGATTAAGAATAAGACAATAGTCCATACTGTGTTAATGAGATAGTGACGTATTGTCATTAACATCAAATAAGAAATAGAAGGTGTAGTTGACAGAGTGGTGTGAGTTCCATTCAGACTCAAGTATCAATTACACCTAACTCCCCGTGGCTGTCAGCTCAAATTTGTATATCCTATTCTATTATCAGGTCTAAAAGCAACCAGAACATTTCCTTTACTTTGTCTTTATTTTCTTGTTACTTTCAATTGATAATATTTCACCTCTCTAGACTGGTTTCATTTGTATAGAGTATAAAATCGAACTAACCTCGTTTCCATCGTTATTTAATCGCTCATGCCGTTTTTAGCAACCTTACGTGTAGATGTTTCTGTTAATAGTATATCATTGGTTATACTTATGTAATATAGATCCTTTAAAACACCCCGTTAATGACGACAGCCTAAAACCCCTAACCTGGGGTGTTTTCACCCACTTGGGGCGTGGGACTATGGTGTCAAGGGTTTGACCAACTGGTTTAGGAGAAGGTGATTGCTCAAGGGGTGTGAAGGCTGAAATTGGTCGGGAAACACTGGCTTAAAGTCTAAATTTCTATTTTATGATTTAATTGTGGTGGAACCGGATGGCGAATTTAATAAATCTAAAAAGTGCCGGCCGATCGCGGTAATTGCACTAAATGCAATGTGTTCTGTGATTATGCCCCTAAAGAATCATCAAAACATTGAATAACTCCGAGGTTTGTTTAACCTGATGAAGAAAAGTGATTGACAAATCTTTTTTCATTCCTTCATTGATCTGTTCCTGTTTTTCAGGCTGATTCATTAGAGAATGAATTGCCAGGAAAGTCTGGACTGCATCCAGTGCCACCAGAGAACCAGGAACCTGTATCAAGCCTTGATGTATCACAGATTCAGAACGCTGATATAGATGTTAAAGACATCTTACTACGATTTTTCAAAAAGTTAAAAAATCATCCTGAAATCCTACAACAACTTATAGAAAGTAAGTAGAAAACACTGTTATAATAAATTTTCTCCAATGTGATTTCATCTGAAATCGACTGTTTTTCAATGAATATCATTTTTCTCTTTATTGGAAGCTGTTACAAAGGCCTATCAGTTATCTCTCCCAAAAATAATTCTAGCCCAATGTATTTTTAGGTGAAGAGAAGCGATTGTTAGATGGATATGAGAATATGTTGGATTTAGAACAAATGGAATCAAATCCTGATTCAAATCTCAATTTAGTGCCAGCAGTTGAGAACCCGATTCCCGTACCGTACCAGGTATTTACATGTTACTTTCCTCTATATACTCATAGAAAGTACTCGAATAAAATTTGTTAAACAACATAGATTGAAAAGAAACTATTGTTTGAAAAGATAAAAACAAGTCTTATATTTAGAAACTTCAGAAGCAACTCTTCCTTGTAAAGAAATGTCCTTCTGGTTTGTAAACAAGGTGAGGTCAGTCGGTGTAGATTTGATATCAGTAGGTATTCTTCAGTTCAAGTCATTCTTTTTAAAATAACATCAGTTGTATAGAACAATTCGACATGTACATTCCATAACAAGGTTGGTTAGTTCAATGCTATTGTGTGTATATTACTTCATTAAGTTTAGAATAATGCAATCATCAATTGCTAATTACTCGTAAGTAATTCCTTGCAGTAAAATAAGATAAGACGTGTATCTGATTGCCTCTTGGCACTATTTCCATATTCAACCGATCCTACATATTAGGCTCCGGGCTGAATAATAAGAGGTTGTATGATATAGGCCTGTATTTTTCTTAATTAAGCACTTCCATTATGTAATTTCTTTATATTTCTTTATGTAGTTAGAAGTTAGAAATATCACAGGTTCGTTGGTGTTCTTAAAAAAAATTATATGTAGAACTCGTTAATGTTTAAATGTATTGATTGATACATGCAGTAAGAGTGGGTAATAACACAGGTATCCCAAAATTTCTTTCTGAAATTCTGTGACTTATGCATGAGAAGTGTGACTGCGGTTATTGTTTATATTTTGGTATTTTTTGCTGTGGTTAATACGGATAGCTTGAAATATTGATAAATTACTGCTGGCTGTCTTTATTACCCTACCGTACATCATGATTATTCAATAAACATGTAAATGACGTCTACTGGGAATTTTGATGAGATGATACAAGGATATAATTATTGAAATGAAAAGTCTGGTTTTTATCTTGGATTCATTTAGAATGTTGTTATTTTCTAACAATTTCAAACCAGTTGCCTGTTATCATTTGGCTATACTGCATGATTATATATTCTGTTTGAATGGTTGTTTTCGAATCGTTTTATTTTAATCGGACGAATTTAAATGAACGAAAAACCATTGGCATTGCCTTGTGTCAATTCGTGCAAATTGTGCCGTGTTATTTTTGGCGCTAATTATTTAGCAGGGTTATTTTCGTCATGTGTGATTGTCACTTCTTTCGAAAACATCCGTTCCTTTCCTAGATATTTTCACAGTTGTACTTGTAACCGAAGCATTTATCACTACGGGATATCCTCTAGAATTCAATTATGTGCACGGTCAAACAGTTCAGTTGACAGATACGGATCTCATCTCAAATAAAGAGTGATATTGCATATCATGACAAAACAACTCAATAAGCAATACTAAATTTATCAATGTATGTCATTCCACTAATACCTTTAAGCTCTTGAGTCCAAGTTGAAAGACTTTATTGTAACATAAATACGGTGAGTTTCGTTTGCAATGCAGATTGTGCTCACACTTTCCAAACACCCGATGCCACATTGCGGCTTTGTTTGACAACTCAACATAACGTCGTTGGAACACATAGTTCATTTGGTATATTTATTATATGCATCTGTCAATACCATGAGCAATATCAAAGAACTATAGACAACATTACACACTGTGAAGGCTTAATCACTGTGGTACTGGCTGAACAAATATTAGGCCGTCGGGACTATGTCTTTAAAAAGCCCCGATGATTAATGTGATGGTTTGTATTGGAATTTAACGAGTTTGTATGGATTATAATAAAGATATCAATATAATATTCAGTAATTCAGATACTATTAAATGTTATAAAATAGCAATGATTCTTGTTAAACATTGTAGTAATTGTTTTACATCATTAGATTCACAATTCGGCTTCTGGCAATTGTTGTGTTAGTTTTTGTTTTGCTTGTTTTGTCGATTTTAGTTCAGTTGCATTTGGTTTTTAATTAACTTGTTCAAATTAGTTTGATATCTAGTATAAATAAGATTTGTTCAATTGCTTGCATCTTTAAATAGACATCTTATTATTAGCGCAATCAAAGTAAAAGATAGGAAATTGAATGTAAAGGAAACATGTCTGAAAACGTTCAGGGATAATCTACCATCCATCGTGGCTGCGGGAATATAAATTAGTCTGACATGTTTTTTTGACTTTCTCATTTATATTATGTCAACTTTAATTGGTTCGTGACTTTTCAATCTGGTTTTTAACCTCACAGAGGAATATCAGGTTTTGAGCACATAATGAACTGCATATACAATTGAAAAAGAAAAATGGAAGTCTATTGAAACGCTTTACAAATTGAAAAAAATCCTTTCACACTAATGAGAAAGGAAAATGGTTTTAGAAAAGAGAAAACATGTAATTATAAATTGCTTCAGTTTGACCTGAACGGTGAACTTAGACACCTCCCTAGTTTCAAAAAGTCGGTTCATTTTAAGCTAGAAGATGTCAGCGCGAGGTTTCTTTCTGTCTGAGCTGTTTTACTGAATAATTGGTTACCGATATCTTGTAGATTACATAAGTTTTCTATGTAACTGTTGCCAGAAACCGGAATGTCAATATAGAGTTAAAAACCCACTGTCTGATCTGTTCTTTCTAGAATCAGAAGTCATACAGTGTTTTTGATCATATTGTCACTCCACTGATTGTCAGTAGTTTTGTAGTCCATACAAAATCTATGAGAATTGTCACTCTTATTAACAATAACTAGTGGAGTGCATAATGTGGTTATCTTTAGATCAAAGGGTATTTTCTTCATTTCATTTTGTTAATTTTTCTTGTCGTGTTGAGTGATGAAACCTTTTTCAATCACTCAAGATGTATCCCAAAATAACTACCAGAAGCCATTGAAGTCAGCCAGGAAGATAGGACCTAAGTAGTTATAAATATCTCAGTTTCTGAAGAGTAGAATAAGTATTAATGAGACTTATTGGCTAGAATTCTTGTATGGACATTTGAAAACTAATGTACTTTCACGGATTTGGGGTATCTTGTGGCCAAACTTGACAAAAAATTATCTTGAGTTTTCAATGATGACCTTTTTCTTGGATAAAGAGTAAATTGTGGGCTTGGCTGACTCTGAATACTTAAATAGAAATATAAAATATTAATAATAGAACAAGTAGAATATTATTATAAGGGTGTGGTCCAGTAAAAACACCTCCTTAATTCAAATAAATACTGTCTTTTGAGAGGGAGCGTTTTTAAAGAGGTCCTATATCTGGTTGCATTTCTGCCAATTCCAATTTGAAGTGGGTTGTTTAGCGGCTGCTTACAACCACACTCTTTAACTTTAAGGATTTATTTTAAAAATATGTTTACGAAAAAATAAATTCTAAAGATAAAAAATCCAATACTTGTAATGAATAAAAATTCAAGACGCACACCTTGAAATCAAAATGAATGACATATAAGAAGATTTAATCAAATAGCAACTTGAGATTCCTGAAAAGGTCAAAAAGCTTCCCTTCATCGGCGTTAGTAAGAAAGTGTCACATCACATCAAAGCAGATAGTTAGCTGGGTAGCCAAGCCATCATTCCACGGATGAAACCTTCAATCAGACCCCTGATGTGTCTCATTTTGTTTAAGAAATTGATTTTTTCTGAAGGCAATCTAGAGAAGTAAAGAATACAATCCTTTGTTTTTGGGATAAAGAAAGTTATTGACTAAAATTATTTACATGTTTGCGTTCTTTCCATTTGAATATGTTAGAGACGGATTAACAACAACTTTTTTTGGCTATCTGCGATTAAATCTTTTGAAACTATTACTGAAAAGAAACAAAATATAAATAGTTAATGCCAAATTTAATAATGGTTTTGCCATCAAAAACAATCAAAATTAATGACGAGTTGTGAACGCAACGGTTTAGATGTGATTAACGTCGTACGCCGTTGTTAACCTAAATCCAGGAGTCAAGGTGAGTCATTCACATGTGTAATCATCCCCTTTCTCAATTGAGTTTAAAAAAAATTAACAAAAAAAACACACTTACACTCTTGGCAGTCTGTTATCTGGAACATTCTGGTAACTTGTTTTGATAATTGTATCAATATCTGTCACATTGTGACGGGGAATTATACAGAAACTGAGAAATCTTGGCCCCCGAGGCAAGTGTTGTATATATCTTCACCTTTATAATAAGATTTCATAAGCCTTTGACATTTTCTTACTGACTCTAGTAGGTCGGAATTTTTAACTTGAAGTATTTTATCAGTTTGAAGTATATATTGCTGTAAATTGAAGGAGGTTTATAACTTTGAATTATAAGTTGAATTTGAAATATAATGATTGCTTTTAAGGACTCTCTGATGTCTCTTACCAAATAGAATGTAAGAGGCAGAATTCATCCGTTATAGAATAACAATTTTATTTGTAGTCTTAGTGCACTGTAACAGAAATTATGTGTCCTTAGTTGAAAAAACACCTTGGTTTATTTTGGTGTAACAAGTTATATATTACGGTTGTTTAAGCTTGTTTATTGATTTGTGATATAAATATGTTGTTCGAATGTTCTTTTGTGCTACCGTAATAGGATAGTCGTTGCCGTTTTTCATCTCGCTATACAATAGCACTGATTAAAAATTTATTTCTAATTATTTGATTAAAATCTTCGTATGTTTGATACATTGATACAAATAAAGAAACACAAAAAGAGAAACAAGCCCTGTGGTGTAAGGTATTGTTTGCTTTATTAGACAGGTCCCTGTGGACATGTTAAAGAGAGTGTTTATCGTTTAGGTTTTTGATAAACTTTAAGCTCCATTTTGTAAAAAATCTTGGGAATTTGTACGTCGTGTAATCCCAGGTCAACAGAACTGGAAATGCAAGACCTTGGTATGCAGCTTATGTTTGCTTTATTTTCTTCACCGATTAAGACAAACAACAAGCAGATTGATGATGATAGGAGCCAAGGAAAAAGTTCCACTGAGGCGGATTAGAACTATTGACGTAAGGATTACTATAAAGTCTGACCAAGTACATTCCTTAGTGTGGACCACATATTAGAACATAACAGACATCTGGTTCTAATTTTCACAAAATATACCTTGCACGCAATAACCTCAAATGCAATACTGCTAATGACATGTTCATAACCTTTACATAAGATGTAAACTTCTATGTGATGTTCATGTGAGTAATTAATGAGTATTTAGCTCTTGCGAGTTTGAATATGTTAAGATAATATTAGATATCTCGAGGGTGATATTTAATAATGTAGACGATCTGTTTCTCGTGATCTGGTCTATTATTCACCATTTTAATTCCAGCTATGAGATAGTCTTGGTATATAACAGATCTCCTATGACATGCGATCTCTGTTTATAGATCTGCTATATTTATAGACGTTTGGACATATATAACATTTAGGTATAAGATCTATAACAAGCAGCATGACATTGTCTTTATGTTGAATTCAACATTTAAACTAATGGACTTCCATTGTGATATCTATCATTCATTTGTCTAATAGCCTTTATAACTGTGTACAATATTTACAGTACAAAATATTCCTGCTCTTTGATTAGTCCTGCAATACCTGATGAATATTGGTGTGGATATCAGACGTTTGGTTCCTATTAACGGGAATACATACGGTTCTTTCATTCTATACACGTCATGTTACATCTGTTACCCACAGATGTGTCCACAGTTGCAACTGATTCATCATCAAAACATTGTCTTGAGTTAATCTGGTTTATTTTGGTTTGGTCTGTGTTAAAAACATTTGCATACATTAAATTGAGTACCGTCGATTGGAAACATAATGAATTTTGCACGAATTTACCTCTTATGATTCCCAACTATCGAGGGATCAGGGCACAATGAGAAGGTTGTGTAACAGTTTTGGAAAACCATGTAGGTCTGTTACATATCGTATATACAATAACCTACACATTACCTGCACTGACCATTCGTTAATTGTAAGTGTCTTGAATTTCCCAGACAAGATAAAGGTTTGAACTGAGAAAATCGAATTAAAAGAGATAATTTGAAAAATGACCTGACAAAATACGAGAAAATGAGAAATAAATTATCACTTTGCTTTGATCAGGATAAGTCATTCCAACACAGATAATAAATGGCTATTCTTGCTTCCATGCTAACTATCATTAGCTAAATCTTGGTAGTTTCCGTAAAGCTGTGACTACATTTGGCAAACCTTTACTAGTTTTCTAGTGGAGCCTTCACAGCAGACTGTTTGGTTTTCCAAGGATTACTCTTACTGTAACTTCACGTCACTCTTCAGAAGAAATATGACAAAATGATCAGTATCAGACGAAAGAAATATCGATTTCAGCTATTTTAAGCATCAAAATTCAACCAAGTTGGTTTATGCTTAAAAATGAAATGAATTCAGTTTTATATTCTACAGAAGACGGTAAAATTTTACCAGGACAGTGACATTAGCCTACTCTGTTTGGATTTCCAACTCTCGGTAGCACATGGGGCCTCGGTTTTTTCGTCTCATCCGAATTTCCATGTCAGTCGCTCCAATCTGTTTTACCGACAGGGGACACCAGTTTTAACTTAAAGTGATGTCCAACATAAGAAAAAATTGGAAATGATATGGAGCATATGTCTTTTAAATAGCCTACATTTTGCAATATACATGGCAAGTTTAAACATAAAATATCTGAAAACTTTCTACATTTATTAATGTTAAAACAAATCTGAACTTTCTTGGTGTCATCAACCCTCCGGAAAAGGTTTAATCGTCTAATATGATGACTTATTTGGGTCAGATAATTGTAGACAGTGACTTTATAAGCTCATGTCCAAAGAAAAGCATGTATTGATAAAATTAATTTTCGCAATCCCATATCCTTTAAAATCCCAAATTTTCTTTTCAATCACAGATTAAAAACTTAATTAATCTCCTGTTAATCCATCACGTTTTAATTAATAAACTAACTCATTATACTGCTTTCGACACGTTTTCGGATTTAAAAACTTATCATCAGAGCAGCTGTTCAGAGACTAGGGTTAAAATAACAAGAAAATTCTGATTGTTAATCGGATTATCTAGGTCGACATGTCCCTAGTTTCAAAGAATCTGATATTCCATGGTCACGATATTTACTATGCATAATGTCAAACGAGGGTGGATATCAAGCCTTAACAAACAGTAAGATTAAAGATAAATATCTAAGAAAGGTTTATGTTTCAAAAACATGTTTAAATCCATAAGTAAATTGAATTAGAGTAATCTCTGGCTTAGTGACGTCACATAATTTCGAGAGGATTGAGAAAAGCATAGGCCCCACATGATAGGTTTAAGTGATTAGTTTAGAAAAACTAATTAAATCAGTAAAGGACTTTGGAAGTAATTTTACTTTAAATTTTAAAAGATTTGAGTCTCGATACGCGATGGCTAGATGTTGTAAAGAGGACTCTAAGTATCTTTGAAACACAGGTTATATCAAGTCTCCTTACCACTCTGTTACAAGTTTCATCGATATAGCCCTCTTTGCCACTCTGTCACAAGATGTATTGGTTTAGCCCTCTTTGCCACTCTGTCACAAGATGTATTGGTTTAGTCCTCTTTGCCACTCTGTTACAGGGTGTATTGGTTAAGTCCTCTTTACCACTCTGTTACAATATGTATCGGTTAAGTCCTCTTTGCCACATTGTTAGAAGATGTATTGATTTGGTCCTCTTTGCCACTTTGTTACACGTTCTATCGGCTTAGTTCTCCGAACCACTCTGTTAAAAGATGTGTCGGTTTAGTCCTCTTTGTCACAAGATGTATTGCTTTGGTCCTCTTTGCAACGATGTTGCACGTTCTATCGGATTAGTCCTCTTTGTCACAAGATGTATTGATTTTGTGACAAGATTTATCAGTTAAGTTCTCCTTGTCGCTCTCTTACACGTTTTATCGGTCCGCTTTGCGACTCTGTTACATGATTAGAAAATATGTTTTAAAAATAAGTTTGTTTTTAAACTATTACATTTTCTATCTCTGCTCTATTTACTTTCAGAGTGAGAAGATGGTAGTGAAGAAAGGTGGATCTAGTCAACTAGGTAAGTTAAAATTGATACAATCAACCCAATTATATTTCTGCATGCGACAATCCTTGCTCATAAATACAAATTTTGATAAAGGGTTTCATCTGGACCTTCTTGTTCCAAGTGCAATCTAATATATAATATTATTGCTTGTAATGGTTGAACAGAATGCGCCTTATTCAAAATACACACAAAATTTCAAAAGGCACACAAGTAGTCTAAGCTTTTCTAGCCTACAGAAGTTACTTATTGCATGGAAAAATAGGCTGAAAATGATCAGTAACTTTAGGAATATTTAAAAATCTGATTAGCTATATATATATTTTGATATTCCTTATAGACTAAAACCACTTTCAGGATTTTATTTTTACCCCCAGAAGAGTCTCAATAACGACAATTGACAAGACAAAAAGTGTCAGCTCATTTAGCGAAATAATGTAGTTAAGAGTACTGACTGATGAAAGCTTTTAACAGTTTGACCTCTGAAGTAGATTCCATCCATAGATGTGACGTGGACGTTGTAATTACTATATAATACCAATACCGTAGTGTGAATATATCTATATCAAAACATTTCTATATCGTTTGGACCATTACGTCTCTTATTGAATTTATATACGATATATCTTTATGAATACGATTATCATGTGATAAAGATACAGTTACATCGAAATCAAATGAACTCAAATTTGTCATGGTTACTGCCAATAACAGTGTTCAAGATCCAGACTGGAAATAACACATACAAATGACATACTTTGTAAAAATGTAACTTAATTCATTGTGGAAGTTGTAAATGTAAACTATTTCAAGATTATCTTAAAATAATCATATCGGAATCTCACGTTTTTTTTATGGTGATGAAGGGGACGCCTGCAGAAATATATGGCTGACCCATCTGTTTAAGGCCTCACTTGATAGCGAATGTCCTTTTTGTACACGTTGATTGTATACCATTGATCTCCTCAGGAAGATAGTTTTGGTATAAAGTTTCGGTTGTTATTAATGTTTTTTTTTTACAAATTTCAGTAGATATTTTGCAAATATTTATCATGTTATGTTTGTTTTTCTGAAAGCAACAAATTTTATAATTTTTATTTTTTGTGTAGATTTTGATCCCGAATATGACCCAAGATCTTCCCCTGGATTTTCTGGACCCATTTCCGGCTCGGATATCAATAATAACATTCCATTGGTTCCTGCAAATCAGCAACATAATGTACGTCTGTATACTTTATCTTTTAATACTACCTGCATATCTATGGAATGGCTTAGTGTCTATGGTCTGTTACCAATTCTAAAAGTTTAAAGAATTGATAAATAACATTTTTATTATTCAATGTGTTCTTGAATGCAATTTCAAAATTTTTTACATTTTGAGCAGAGGGCAAAGTCGCAGATTTCTTCTATATAGACTAAATGAAGAATGAAAACAATGTACTTTTAATTAGACTGTGCTTGAGACTCTACTTAACATTTCCAGTTTTTTCAACTAGAGTTGAAATTGGAAATATAATCAATATTGTATAACCAAACACAGATCTTTCCCCATTAACATTGTTGTTTTAATTAATTTTTAATTGTTACACCAATTAATCGATTTAAGTAAATGTTTAAATTGGAAATCAATGACGAACGACTTTATGATAAAACAATTACAGTGCTAAAATAGAAAATACAAATAAGTATTTATTCAGCCCCATAACTTCAAATGGGACATTAAAATGTACTTCTAAATTTAGATTCAAAGTATTGAATAAATTGTTTATTCTTCCGATAAAAATGTGTGGTATCTCCAAGCTGCACATAATATTCTATAAAATAGCATTATCTGTTGATATTACAGGCTCAGCCTTCAGCTGAAGAAATCGCAAAGCTAGAGAAGCAACAGAGTCCTTTCATCAACAGTCTACCACTTTTTGATAAATTACCCAATCCTCCTGCTGATGATAAGTTAACTGCTCCAGACATTAAAGCCGACATTCCATCACCAGTCAAATCACACAAGACGATTTCTCAAGCTTCTTTTGACTCCAATATTGAAGAGATCAAACATGTTCCAATCAGAGAAGAACTAGCGTCCGAAGTGCCACCCTCACTGTTGGCTGATAAGATAGAATTGAGAGAAGAGGCTCATCAGGCACTAAAGAAAGCCGAAGCCGAAGCATTGAAAACAAAGAAATTCCAAGCAACCTTGCAGAAAGAGCAGCTGAAACAGATGGCTGAGGCACAGAAAGCTAAACAGGCGCAGGAAGTTGACGAACAGGAACACAAGTATGACCAGCAGACTCAAGAGCAGCAAGTGGGCGTTGAGGATCCACAGCAGCCAGAACTTTCAGAAGATAGTCAAGGGGTGCAGCAACCCGACGCCGACCCTTACGGTTACTATTATTATTATTATAACTATCCAGAACTTGCACAACAAATCTTCAATGACGATGCTGAAGAATCCAATGAATCCTATCAACCAGAAGATAGCAGTGTCTCTGACTCCGTGGAATCTAGCCAGCAAGAAGATTCTAATGAATCAGTTGACAACAGCAGCCAAAATGATTCAAGTGTATCGGGCGAATCCCCAGAAACAAGTATTTCCAACAGCAATGAAAGTGAAGGCAACTATGTCAGCTCTGAAGAAGTTACTGTTGATGGTGATAATGAAAAGTCTCTCAAAGAACAATCTTCTGATAAGGTAAGATATCACGTTGGTATATGAATATTAAATAAATATGTCAAACTGGGCGAGAAGTCTCAGAGCTTCCATGCTCTGACGATGTCGTGAATACAGGCCCGTAGCAATTGTTAGGAGGGGCAAGTAATGTATCAGGAGGGGCGATGATGTGGTATTTAGTTGCAGTAATAGAATTGGTCGGTTATCAGAATTTTTTCAGCAGGGCAATCCATTTTTTCGGAAGGACATTACCCCTTTTCCCAATGCAGCCACTGGTCGGCTGCCCCTCTTGCCCACTGCGGCCACGGGCCTCCTTGAATATGCATATAAATCCAAAATAGTAAATTATGGACTGTTTATTCATGTGTGGTTGCTTAATATATTATTGAAGATTAGTGATTTTTAGGAGCTGAACGAATGGAAAATAATAATCTTGATTTCGTGTCGCTGTATGTGGTTTTTCATCATTTACCTTTTTTCTTTCAGGAAATTGAATTAAAAGCCTTGACGAAGCCTCAATCTGTCCAGAAGGCAAATGAAATGAATAATATGTAATTTGAATTACGTAAAAAGTTTTTTGTTAAAAATCTGTTAATTATAATGATACGTTTCTCCTGATTATGAACGTTTCCCATGGCAATAATATTTCCTGCTTAATTTCCTAATTTTAATTAAAATAAAAAATGTACATGAACGGCAAAATCATTTTCATAAACGGCCTTGGCGAAATGACGACCTGCTTAACAGATTTTATTCAAAGCATATTCATATCCATTTATTATCCTGAGCGAAGCAATCATCTCAATTTCATACATTTCCCCCAGCACTGTAAATGTATTAGTTATTGAAAGAAATTTTGTGATGTATTGCGAGTTGATCGAAATCTTCATCTCGCAAAAGTGCAGTTATAAAAATTAAATGGCTTTGACATTTAACTCTTTATCTAAATGTACGCTTAAGGCGTATAAATGATCAGCAGATTGTGTAAGCGAATTTAGTCAAGGCTAAATGTTGTCACAAAAATAAATCAAAATTTAAAGACCTTCATTTAGATTTTATTTGTGCACAGCAAACTTGTTATACTCTTGTTACGATTGATATGTTTATATGTTTTTATATTTATATGACATGCTCTAATACTTAATTCTAATCACGATAAAAAAAAATCTCCTGATTATCTCGAAATAGAATTATTCTCAACAAGCCAGTTAAGTAAATGAGGAACGTCTTAAATGCATTAAACTGATTGCCGGACGCCTACAGAATGAAATTCCGTTTCCTTATTAAAATAGGATTGTTTAATCACCTACATGGAGGTTGTGTTGTTTCCATATTTCTGTGATATTAAAGTCTACTTAAATTTTATCCAAAATAAAATATTAACTTAAATTGCTTTCATTTCCACCATGTGTTTAGACCACTACTGCCAACTATTACATACTTGAACATTCTCAGCAAGGAAATTGCGTTTGAACAAAGCTCTTAATTAAAAGAACAATGATTATCGCGAACCCACAGTCTTAAAAATCAGTGGTTCAAAACCTTTTTTAGCCTTCACTCCTCTTGAGCAATCATTTGAACCTTTCACATCCTCAAAATTTAGATCATCCACATTTCCAGCATATGATGACGAGAGGTGCTCTCTCAATTTCCTCTCCTACACTAGTTGGCCACATCAGTCTCGAACAGCCAGAGAGGTGAAAACACCCCAAGTTTGGAAGTATTCCACAGGAGAACAAACACAACTTGTTGGTAATCATGTACGATGTTTACTAAGTGAAGTTTGGGGAGTACACATGTCAGTTAATGTTATTTAAGCCGGTCTTTTTTTCGCTTTGGTTATGCAACATACATACGTTTTTCAATCGTGTACATATTTAAGAAAATATGTTGTCATTGGAAGCCAGTAGTTTCTTTACAATCAGAATTAGGAATTGCCTTTAAAATTCATTATAATTCAATTAATATAATCTTCCAGTAATTCAGTCTATTCAGTCAGAAATCAAATTGATTAAATATACAGAACTGGAAAATAGAGGCTATAGGCATACAGAATCTGAATTAGAAATAAGTACTGACAATCGTGGCATCAAATTCTTATTTTGATAAGTGCTGTAATGTAATTATCATAGCTAAAAAGGCCTGAAAACACAGGATCTGTGTTGATTCTACCAAAATAAGTCTTAATTTGGAATCAAAATATGGCTTGTTTTACTAGCTGGGTCACAGTAAAAAATTTTTAAAACCATATACTTTCGACATTGGATCTTAAAAGTGGGTTTTGGCAATTGAATAAAACGCCCTATCCATTTAAAAAATATTAAACAGAATCAATATGACTTCTGCAAATATATTAGTTCACACATTTCAACAGTCATTCAATTCCTCATGTTAGAAATTTATAAATAGGACAAAACAAACAGAATTTGTTTATCATAAAAGCCATATTTATAACACCAAATTTTACATCAGAAGTTTATTTCATTCTTCATAAAATAAGTGAAATGTAAAACTTAAACAAATACACAATAGAAATATTAAAAATTCTCACACAAATCTTTAGCTAAAAAAAAGCCATACCATTGGGTATCAGACTCCCTACAATTAAATACAAAGACAGCTGTCACTTCCAGAAGTTATTACTGTTACTCTGAGCTCATAGGAAACAACTGAGAATATTGAAATATCCTGGAATTGATGACATTTAAATTGCACAAAAATTTGTATACACATAGAGGAACATTTTGAAAACTGATTCTGATAAGCTATACAGAAGTTGAGATTGAGCTCTCTATAGCCCACTAAAGCAAATATTTAGATAAATATATATTCACAAAATCCACCAGCTGTTAAAGGGAATGAAAATTCTATATGTATTAGGGACACTGATGCATCAATTTGCATGATTCCATTTTCAATCAGACGTCTGTGGTGTTTGATGATACCACTAATCGTCAAGAGCCTTTTATGATAAAGCATTTTTTGAAAATTGGAATGGTGCAAATCAATGCTAAACACAATTTTTTTTTAGAAAACCTCTTTACAATTCCTTTATATCTAGCAATAATCATATAAATTATCATCACCATTATCAATACAATTAGAATAATCTACTAGTCACATTATCAATCATTTTTTGTAATGGATATAAAAGGATTTACAAAATAAATATATATATAAATAAATATACGCCAAATATCTAAGACATGATCTAAATATACTTGCTACAAATATAAATGTGTATAAAACAGAAATAACTTTTATTTCATTATCATATTATCTGGATAAGAAGAACTGATTCTGAAAATGATTTGATCATTACAGTTGTCTGATTATTATACAGTAAAAGTACCCATAAATTTAGTTTAACTGGCCATTCAGATTGCTGTATTTCATACCATTAAAGGGATTGTAAAGAAGTTTTTAATTTTTTTTATGTGTATCAGGGACACTTATGATATCAATTTGCATTAATCCAATTTTCGATCACATGTATGTTTCCTGCAATTCCACTAAAAATAAGTGTTTTAAGATGTCTCTAATCACGAAAGGCCTTAAGTGACTAAGTCCTATCATTTACTATGGTCAGAGATCGTAAACTTTCATGTGTATAGTGAGCACTAATAGCATCAATTTACATCCTTCTAATTTATAGTAAGATTCCTCGTGTGATTTCATAGATAGCTCTGATAGCAATTAAAAGATAGTAAAAATCTCCCTACAAGTTCTTCAACACAGTTTTCTATCTTATTTTTTCCTATTTATCAATTATATTATTTCTGATTAACTGATAGCAATCGTAGTAAATTTTATTCTCAGTATCCGTAAATATGCAAGTTCTGTAGAAAAAAAAATGTAAACTTCATATAAAAAACTGAAGGGTAACAAAATGCCACATAAAAAACATGATTTGGGCAGTGACTTTTAAAAGTTGGTGGTTCTTTCACATATACATATAATAGTAAAAACAATTTTAAACTATAGTACCAAAATGAGTTTTAAAAATTATACAAAACTATGAAGACATGGCCAATAAACATGATTTAAGCTATTTGGGATTTTCAGTGAGAAAAACATACTCTTCGTTAGCATAGTTTTTATAATATGTAATCTACACTTTAAGGAGTTGACAAGAGGTTTTCTAAATTTTGTATGTGTATCACGGATTCTGATACCATCAATTTACACCATTACAATTGTCAATCAGACATCTGTGTTTTTTGCAATTTTCCTAAAACTAACTGTTTGATTACTAATTGCTAAATATGATTTATCACTATTAGTGGTGTCATCAAACATTAGTTTTATTTAAATTGCAGGAACCAGAGACATCTGATTGACAATTGGAATGGTGCAAATGGATGCCATAAAAAAATTAGAAAACATCTTTACAATCCCTTTAATATTTTGACCAATATTGGTTCATTCAATTCCACTGAGAAATTAAAGTTCAAACTATTTGGCTCCTGAATCTTTATAGCATAAACACTTTCTGATATGGTTAAATCAAGTTCAAAAACAATCAAATCTACTACAAATTGGAACAAAACTAGCCTAAATACACAATTATTGTTTTAAAATACAATAAAATTATTTATTTACAATAATATTTACATATATTCTAATAAATAAATTTTGATTTGAACAGAAACTAAATAGGTCCTAGGTAGAAAAACAATCTTTCTTAGCATTGTTCCAAGTCAAAAAGGTAAAAGGCTGTGACAACAGGGGCCTTATTCTGGAAAACCTAACTTAAGATGATTTTAGTCTTGCAATCATCTGATTGGTCAAACACTAAAATTAATTTCAAATCTGTTTTATTATCCAATCAGATTACTGTATTTCTTAAAATCTGGATTTCATCTGATTTAAGTTTTCGAGATAAGGCCCCTGATCATCAAGAAACACTGCTAATCAAAATTCTCTTAGAGATTTCTCAAGTACCCCCTACAGTGTTTACTGGCACCTACCAGAGGAACCAATGATATAATTATCATTATAGGTAATAAAATGAAAGCCATGAATGACTTTACTATCTACTAAATTCAAATCATTGCACCGGGTTTGAAATATTTTGATTCTGGCAAGCATGTGAAGCATCATTAAATTTCAAACATATAATAACATGGCCAATCAAAATTCTTCTAATGCTTTGGGCACTTGAACTGTTCTTTTGTTGCTGATATGCGAATCTTCAGTAAAATCATGTACCCGTCCTTTCAAGACAAGATTATTGCATCTTTTGATTATGAAAATCAAGCCAGTTTGTCATTTGTTGATGATTGTTTTCTTTGTGTGCCTGTGATACAACAAGACTCCACATAGCGTCATCATCCAATAAGGGTCGTTCTTTTTCTATTTTTAACACATTAAATATAAGAGCCTAATCATGTATTGTTTGGTAGATTAAATTTAAAAAATTCGATCATTGTTAATTTTCAAAATACAGAAGTATGTTTAACATAACCTTGCCATAACACTAAAATAAAGACTAATTTGGGGAACTATGTGATACTACAATGCTAAAGAGATAACTTTTTATATCATAATTTTTCATTTCACCGTTAATGTAGCTTTAAATAACATAGTTTATCTAAAAAGATATTACATTAAGATTAACATCTAGTCTACATTTCTACAATCTCAATAATTTGAAATAAATATTAGATCTTAAAAGAAATTTTGACTAAAAACTTCTTAGAAAAAATTAATCTCCTTCCTTTTACTTCTGTACATTTGGTAATGGTAATACTGTTAAATTCAAAATCAAAATGTCTTAAAATGGCCTTAAAGAGACATACCGCTTTATTTGTAGGTTGAACAATTTTTTTTGGCTAAAATTTGTGAAAATTATACACCAAAATCTAGAGAAATGTGTCCCTTAATGTATCTGAAAGTTTAACTAAAAAAATCCAGCCGTTAGGTGATTACTTAGATATAAATAGTATACTTTATTTTCACGTATAATTTACGTTTATAATAAACGTTTTTGATATTGAAATTTTTCACAAAAAAAGCGGAATACCCCTTTAAAATCAACATTGACTCATTCACAACACAAACATCACACAAATCTACCACAATCTCCTAAAATTTCATTTATTATAATTCAGGAAATGGCTCCAATTTACACTTAAAACGTGCGTTAGTTTATCAATTATAAAAAGTTATTTGCTATAAAGTTTCATGTAGATAACTGTTAATAAAAAGGTGGTTTATAAAAGATAAAGTGTAAGTTAAAAGGTCAATATTAAATTCAAAAAGAAAATTTCAAGCGCAGTCAATTACGACATAGGCTATGTCCATCTTTTCTCATAAAGAAAGATAAGATTTACTTTTATTGATAAAATTGACTATTTTGTGTATACATGATCAAAAAGTTGGTAGAAAATTTGCAAAGAATACGTTAAGAGTATTCAAAAAAAGAAAGCTTCAGACAATAAAATTTAAAAGCCAGCAATATCACAAGAAGAAATAAATATTGATTTGAGAAACTATAAGCCAATAAAAGAAAGAATAGGGCATAAAATATAAACATAGTGTACATACGTCGATACAAGATAAAATACATGAAACATAATTATCTGAATAATATCAACATCTAATAAACCTTCCCGACATCGCGGTAACACTCGCTTTGGAGCATCCGCAGGCTCCTCAAATTTACCACTTTTGTAAAAATTTTCTAGCATTTTGTCCTTTTCAGCGTAACGTTCGTACATCCATTTTGTTAGTCCTTCTAAATCACGAGGTATTTCAGAGACGGGATAGGCTCGATAATGTAAATAACAGTCTGTCGGTGGGTGCCATCCAATGGCACACCCATGGGCATCTAGAGCTTTACCCTCAGGGTAACCAAGTGTTACGTCGATAATCCATTTTAATGGTCTGGCATGAGATTCTTTGTCCTCTGCAAAAAAATTTAATAGAACCAATAGAAAACGTTATTAAAAGAAGTAAGATACAAGTCAATGTTGAAAAATGAATATCCCACAATTCCTCACATAAAGTAAGAAATTCTTTTATAAAGCCAAGCATTTGATTGGTTGAATATCATATGACCCTATTATAAAAGCATAACAATTTCATCAGATCATGGATGGCAAATGGAGTCACCTTCAGAAAACATGTGAAACAAGATATCCAGACTTGTAATTTAATCAGATAGGGAATGTTTTCTAGTCAAGAGATTATTGATACAAACTGCACTACTGCAGGACATTTTTCACATAAACATTCTACTTTGTCATCAAATTATACTTAAAACAAATTATTTCAAACCAAAACCAAAATGAAAAACGAACCTAATAATTTAGCTTGATCTATATCCACAGCACCTATTGTGTCTATAATAACTTTGATAGCTCCTGTACGGGGTAGAGTGGAGTGATTTAAAATTGGATAACCATTCTTTTTACCATACCTATAATAATATCATATTTCAACATAAATCAAATAATCCTTCACTGGCATATCAGAACACAACTTCTATAGACACAAGAGAAGAACCACATTGAAATGGTGAAAGTAATAAATATTCTTGAAGTATCTATCCATAATAATTGTTTTATCTATCAAGACTAATAAATAAGTCTAATATCAAGAATACAAGAAACAGATGTGAAAAGGTAGGTCTTTTTTTTACACCCTAAATCGTTCCTGGGGTTTGAAATACATGATTAATTCATATTGAGATAAGTAGCTTCCATTTAACAACTTCTATCTATCTTTAAAAATTTCCTTTGATACATATTTTTCATACTTGGGGTTTAAAATAAAAGCTATTTATTCACACCAGAACAAAGTGCACCATGCTCACCACAATAAGGTGCTTTAGACTTCAACAAAGGGTCAACGTTGGAATTAGTTAATCAGACTTACGCTTGGCTACTTTCTAGCCTTTTTCGAAGAAAACCACCTTCGGGGAAGAGAACGATCCATTTCTTTTTTCGGGGTAAATAAACATCAATGAGATGTTTTTTAAACTGTTCTAACTGTCCTAGACGTGTGGATTTCCCCTACAATAAAAAACACATTGCTGATGATAAAAGAACTTTATATCCAATGAGGAGAATCGAAGCCTCAACATGTAATTGCCTAGCAGACGACAATCCAACTTGCTTCCGACAAAGATATTTCACTTCCAAAACAGTGTTCCAAACCAATGTTAAAAGGATATGATATGAGTAATGCAAACAATCATTTTAAAATTTCCACTGAAAATTCCACTACAATTCATTTGAAAAACATATTTTACCTGAGCAATAAAGAAATCTCCACGACACATTGAAACCAAACCAAAATTAGTATATTTAAATATCTTATCCATAACCCATAACACTTGACCAGACACCAGATTTTTAGCGAATAATGCTGTCATGACTAGAGTTGTATCACTGGTAGATTGATGATTGACCATAAATACAGTCTCTTCATTTTCTAAACTACTCAAATCATCACCTGCTTCTATCACTGTAAATGCAAATAGTATAGGTCAGTAAATGTCAACATTATATTTTCTCCTGTATATCTGTTAACAAGTCATAATTTCTTGCACATAGTTTCCTTTCAGCACATCACTTACCCACAAAACCAATCAAAGCAATAATATACTTCTACTCAAAAAAAAACAATGGAAATAAAAATTTGTACATGGTTTTTATTTAGTATTTAGAAGATTTTTCATTTAATATTTTTTGATTATTAATCGATTATTGATCAGTAGCATGCCGTCGATAATCAATCTCAAGTTGGTAATCAATGCCAAGTCATGCACATTCTGGTTCGATTAAAAAAATATTTCTCTTATAACTATAACTTATGACTAGTGCAGTACACTATTAAACTATGTAACATCTGGAAGTAATGTATTAATAGTCAATTCTAATTATCATATTTAGCAATTTCCAGCTGACCTCGAGTCATTGTGGTATTCCAATTATTCAATATTACATGATTACCAATTCAAAACACACAAGTCCTTTTAGATGTAACAGTTTTTCCAAACTGAGAAGGCTTTTCAACAGACATTTTTACAAAAAAATTTAGTTATTGATTGATATAAAACTATCATTCTCAGCAAGTTTAAAATAATAGGTACCCATTTCAAGAAAAGAGGAGTATTTAATGGATAGAAATTTAAAATTTGGGGTCTAGAGATTTAATTTCTTTTAAACAATATATAATATCATATAGATATCAAATTCCAATTCAGTCTTTAAAGCAACATAAATAACAAAAAATACCTTTTAAAAAGAATAAAAAAAAAAGAGAGAGGAATGTGGGCATGTAATTTGTAATATGGAGAGTAATTATTTTTATAGATTTAAATACATTTAAAGATGTTATACACCTTAAAAAAAAACTGAAATTTTTACCTCTATATCCTCCAGTATAATGCCAGGTGGCCACCATAGCTATCAGACCTTTAAACAATATAGCATCTAGTCTCCAGAAGACATCAGGGGCTAAAACCCTCAATGGTTGTAGTAGAATAAACCAGACCAGAAAGGATGGTATTGTGTAGAAATTGGTGGCTATAAATATTGTCAGACGTAAAACACCTCGAATTATTTCCCTTAACATCTTGATAGGATAGGCTGGAGACTGAAATGAAAATGAAATAAATGGTGTTTTATTTCTTACTTTTGGGCCATGCAGTGTGCAATGAGGGAAATTTTGTCAGGACAGCAGCATTGTCTTACTTATGTTCAATTTCCAAATTTTCAAATCCGAAGGAATCATCTGAGAATGATTACTAGAAAGACCTTCTTATTTACAAAACAAAGCATTGTTTAAGATTTCTAAGGATGCAATTTCTTAAACTAAAGCTGCAAAAAAATTCCTAATAAGTGTATCAAAGTATTTTGAGATCATTTTTTAAATGATACACCTCAGCAGATTTACTGACTGTCACTTTATTATATCTGCTCGTAGCCTCTCTTTATAATTTTTAAGGTACTGTCAATGACAGTATGAAATTTTCTCTTATACATTTATTTCAATTGCCGATACTATCAATGAGTAAACTTAAATCAATAGACGTCAATCCACACAATCCATTCTTATTTTTTTTTACATGCTTCATTTTACCAAAAAAAGTATTCAATAAAAGTATGAAAGTAAAACTGCTCCATTGTATGACTATCAATACACTTATTTTAGTACCAGTATTTAATTCAATCAAGCATGTCGTTCTATTAGCAAGATATAAAAGGGTATTATTATCAGCATATGTTTATAATAGAATATTATGAGACTAAGGTTTATGTATAAGCCTATTATTGATTGTCACTAGCAATTTCTGCTCAATTGTGCTTTTGGTTTCTTTGCTTAGGAATTTATGGTCATACATAAAGTATAATATCAATATGTTTGTACGTATCACATTACCATGATCTAGCCACTTCTGGTCATTTATGATTTTAGCTTTATGTAGCAGATGCATATGTTGTCACTTTATCTTCTACCAGTATTTTTTTTAGTACATTGCACATAAACAATGCGTTAGGTTAGGCTTAAATCTAAGAACAGTTTTGAGTCTAGAAACATTTATATTATATAACATGTAATCTTAGGTTAGTATATAATCATCCTGTATTTTATAATTCGCATGTAAAATGATCATAACAAAACCATTGTAAATCTACAGCACACCAAAACTAACATCTTACCAATATAAAGATTGTTTTAAAACAATAAACCAAGGCCACTCAAGGCCAAGGGTTCAAGGAAGAACACAAAACAAAACCAGCAGCTGAAAAATTCCAGGCACTTCTTTTTTCTTCGAATTTTTTCTTGAAAAACTGACACCTTGATCGCAATTAAAATCAGTTAAGTATCTATCAAAATAATATCTTGATAGTGTATCGTCGTTCTTATGGCTTCTGTTGCCGATTAAGAGTCATAATTAGTTAATTTGCTTGACAACAAATTAATTTATTTTTGACAATTAAAAGAGAGAAGAGTCGCGTCCCTTAAATAATCACATTTGGCCATGTGTAAATTCTGATGTCACTGACTCAATATGTAAACGAATCAGGATTTTGCCTCAAATTTACACACCTACACTCAAATTTCCAAAAAGACTTATTTTCAAAGAAAATTTCATAGATCAAAAATGTGATTTTAATAAAAGTATTCCTTATGCGGTGAAATAATGCTTTGTTTTTTTTAGACTATGCCGATTATTTTTATGACCAATAAACGGTGATGACCGTATTTGTTTCTATGAAATTCTGCATCCCCTAATCTTTTTATTTTTATGCTTTTAGACAATTTTCTATGTATTGATATCTTTTTTTTTTCTCAATCTAAAACTATTTAAACTGTAAAAGATAGATTTCTTCTAGGTTTTTTTTGTAAGAATGAAATCTGATAATTTCATATTATTAAATTTAGTACGCTATAGCAAGTCACGTGACTAATATTTACAACGACACCGCCATAAACGTGTGTCCTAAAAATATAATTTCAGCATATGTCAATAAAATTATTGAAAATTTCAAATATAGAGGTAAAAATCAAGAATTGTTCTATCCAGTTATGTACAGGGATGGTTTTAGTAATGCTTGAAATCACTGTGAACCTTGATACATGAAAGTTTATAAAATAAGGGCTTAAATTGGGTGGAGTTTGATATGTTTTATATTTTGAGAGGGGGGGGGGGGGGTGGCTTTAATGCTAAATTCTTGGAAGAGACATACCTTTTGTTTGAGAAAATGTCTTGCGTCCCTTGACTGTTCATTTATGGCAATAGAACTAATATGTCAAAAGTGTACTGCTGTTTTAAGATCTCTTACCAAAAATTATGTTTGTTATTACAGAGTTTCAATCTAAAACTACTTGCATCCTGTTTCAGAATTTCATCAGATTGTCTGGGAAAGAAGGTAGAAGAGTCTAGATTGTTACCAAGTCATTCACATCAGCTCAAAAGAGCTATTTATAATAACTTAGTTCGACCGTTTAAGTTAGAGGAACATCAAAATGGTTTTAGCAGATTTGGGTCGTAAAATTACTTCAGCTTTGAAGTCGCTGAGTAATGCTACCATTATCAATGAAGAGGTAGATTTCTAATTTTATATTGTGAAATATTCTGCGGTAAATATTTTGATAAAACCCAAATTGAGTTGAGTACACGGTGTATGCAAAATGTACATAACCATAGTAGGCATTTGTTGTAAATTTCGTAACTTTCTTTAATCACAGCTGAGTAATTGAGCCCTTATTTAAACAGTGTGATAATCAAACAATGTTATAAAATGATGTATTTTGTTTCTAGGTTCTAAATGATATGTTAAAGGAAATATGTCGAGCTCTGATGGAAGCTGACGTCAATATTCGACTTGTGAAATCACTCAGAGAAAATGTCAGGTAAGTGAAGGACACAAATAAACATGTTTCAGATTCAGTCATAATATTTTTATTTCATCAGTGGAAATATTTATTTTATTTCCTATTGTACTGTAATAATCCAAGGTAATTTTTCAGATGATTTTCTGATTTTAAGAGGAAAGCAGTCAGACGAGTAGAAAGGTTTAAAGGCATTCTTTAGGGACAACAATTTTACATTGTCAATACAGAAATTCACGCAGTATTCATTGAGCTGTTGTTTTATTTTTCAGATCAGTGATAGATTTTGATGAGATGGCTGGAGGTTTAAACAAACGTAGAATGATCCAATCAGCTGTGTATAAAGAATTAGTTAAAGTGAGTAATATGAACAGTAACTTGTTATTTCATACTTATACAGAAGATAAAATAAAAATCTCAAGTAATAATATTACCCTTAGCAAGTTTTATGTACAGATCTTGATTGAAATGAAGGGTTACCTGACTCCTATATATTTTGAGTTTAGGCCCAAAAATGCCCGATTGTTGCCTTAAAATTAAATGTACATTAAATTTGTGGAAATAAATAATAAATGTTAAAAATGTAAAAAAGCTCTTATAAATAATAAATTTGCCCTCTCGCCATGATGAAAAAAAGGCCTGTAAAACAGACTATTTATTTTGTATGGCCTTAACTCTGCTAATGCGAAATGAGATATATCTGTAAAATGTAAGTACCATGGTTCTAATTGAAATATATTCATTGTTATCTTTCAGTTGATTGATCCAGGAGTAAAAGCATTTCATCCATCAAAAGGAAAGTCCAATGTTATTATGTTTGTCGGTCTACAGGGAAGTGGAAAGACTACCACTTGTACTAAGGTAAGAGCTGTCTTTAATCTGACTTATATTATTAAACACATTTCTCTCTTTTATTTATAAAGCAGATCTCTTTATTTTATGACTAAAGATTCCTTGACAGTTGGAAATCGAAAGAGACTAGGCTAATGCCACTGTCCTGGCAAAATTTCTTTTCACTGCATACCTCATAGCATTGCCTGTCTTCATTAAGTTCATTGACCCAATTGAGTGCAGAAGAATAGGATGTTAAACTCCATTCATTTCATTTCTTTATGTCATGAAGTAAATCTATTTATTTGTGATCTTTACCAGTGTTTTTCATGGAAGTTTTCACTCTTAAAACAAGGTCAAAATTTCTTTGTGAATCTTTGTGAAACAATATTCAAATCATATCAATATTGAAAAGGTTAATCAGAAGAGATTTTTTTTCCTATTTTCAGTTAGCATATTACTATCAGAAGAAGGGTTGGAAAACATGTTTAATTTGTGCTGATACTTTCCGTGCTGGAGCTTTTGATCAGTTGAAACAGAATGCTACCAAAGCCAGAATTCCTTTTTATGGCAGGTGAGTTGATTGTAATAATAACATCTTTATTTTTCAGTTTCATTTGCTTGTTATTGTGATAAGACCACCAATCCTCAGTCCCTTGATAAATATTATTGTTATCTTAGAAGTTACAATATTTCTTATAACGAGGCTTTAATGATTAATTTAAATTAAGGCTTTGTCACATAAATTAAAAAATTCCATACCAATATGTTGATAGTGATATTGATTTAACATATTAAGTTCCATTGTTTGTATTGTTTATTACTAGTTATTCTGAGAGTGACCCAGTTATTATTGCCCAAGAAGGTGTTGATAAATTTAAAGAAGAGAATTTTGAGATTATCATTGTGGATACTAGTGGTCGACATAAACAAGAAGATTCTTTATTTGAGGAAATGTTACAAGTTCATCAGGCTGTTGTAAGTAGAGTTTAGAATTAAAAGAATATTGCTGTCTTGTATTTCCTTGTACCAGCTTTGATTCAATAAAACAAAAAGTGTTTCTTAGTGTTTTGATGTATTCTACTGAACTAGTGGTGTCATAATAATATGTTACTGAGAAGACAAAATGTTTTGTGAAAATAGAAAACTTAATGTTCGATAGCTTCAGATTCTGTTTTAAGATTTCTGTATATATCTAGCAAAGTATTACTTACTTGTTTTTGTTTCAGACTCCTGATAATGTAGTCTTTGTTATGGATGCTTCTATTGGTCAAGCTTGTGAAGCTCAAGCCAGAGCTTTTAAAGATAAAGTAGATGTTGCTTCAGTTATTATAACTAAATTAGACAGTCATGCTAAAGGTGGTGGTGCTCTTAGTGCGTAAGTAGATCTTTATGTACTTTAATTTGATAGTGGGATAAAAAATTGTCAAAAATGTGTAAATCTTATCAAAATGCAGATCTGGTAGTTAAAGTAGTAATCAGCACATCATACGTTTAGCTTGTTGTTTCAATTACTATTTATTCTACCTCCAAACAATCTGAACTGGTCTTAATCTTTTGAAACCTACCAAGACGTGCAATTTTCTAGGATAGTAAAAGTTGGCCAATACACATATACATTTAGCCAATTACTCCCTTTATAATTTATAGAATTCAGCATATACTTTGTCTGAAATGAAGTAAAAAATTAGTTAACATGTAATATTAATAGGTTCTGTTGATATACTTCAGTGTTGCAGCAACTAAAAGTCCAGTTATATTTATTGGTACTGGAGAACATATTGATGATTTTGAACCATTTAAAGTTCAACCATTTGTCAGTAAATTATTAGGTACGTTCTTCTTTTTCACCTTAAGTAAGTCAATTTATTGCTTGGACAGTATATTATAACAATATTATTATGTTTTTCTCCCCTCTTAGTTCTCAATATAATAATGACTGAGAAATAAAATATATTTCTACATTGCTTATGAGTTATAATTATGTTGACCCTACATACATGTAATATTGAATGTATTTGATTCTATATATTCTGCTTTTATTTAAGGTATGGGTGATATAGAGGGATTGATAGATAAAGTGAATGAATTAAAATTAGATGATAATGAAGAATTGATGAAAAAATTAAAGCAAGGTAACTTTAATTGAACAAGTTATAGTATTTTTGTATTTAAGAAGTGGGCAGAGGAATCAAAGAGAGTAACCATTATTTTTCCACTCTGATGATGAAAAAGTGGAATAGGGTCTGATTGACATTGACAAAAGAAAGTGACTGTACAGTTAGTTGCACTGTTGAATTGGAAATCTAAACTAGAAAAATGGAAAACTGGAAAAAAGTGCACTACCCTGATGTAAGCCCCATTGTGTCAGTGTTACACCACCTGTATCACTGTGCTGTGACAAACACCCCACCCATCTACAACTCCACCCCAGGGGCTTCACAGTGATTTTAGTAGTGGGGGTGGGGCTGACAACTTAGGTTGTGGTATTTCTACCCCAGGTCTGGGGACTTTCCCTAGGGCTTTTGAGAGTGATTAACACTCAGTGAGTTGCCCCATTACAGATTCCAAGGTAGCACAGTATGATTTGGGTGTCAACTGTCATATATAGTGACATGCATTTTAAAAAACATTTTGAATGGTCTAGTATATTTTCATTGGAATTTTTTATAAAAATATATCACACTCAATATGAAATAGCCTAATGTTTATTTCAATTGTTAATCACCTTTTCCTAATTTTGATAAAAATTTTGAGTAAAATTTTCAAATATTTTAATGCTTTTTTTTCGATGACTTGAAGCTTTTTACTAACCCAACTTTTACACTATATCTTAGGTCAATTTACATTACGAGATATGTACGAACAGTTTCAAAATATTATGAAGATGGGACCATTTAGTCAAATTATGGTTGGTATCAATTTCTGTTTTTTTCTCATCTAATTAATTAGCACTAATTTGCAGATGAGTAATTCTTGATGAGCCGATAAATGAATTAACTCCCTTGGAAATGATTTTTTTTTAAAGATTACCTCATTACCTCCCTTGCTTTGAATTAAGATTTCTGTGGAAGTTATTATTTATGAATTCAAATTTTCAATTTAATCTTTATTACTCAAATTGATTATAAATATTTAAAAAATTTATGTTCTCTCCTTATGACCTTGGCTAGTGCTTCTACAGGAGGGTATCTTCTATTACACCCAATACTAGGTCCAATTAGTTTTTATCTGTAATGCCATCAATTTGTTTCAATTTTAGGGTATGATACCTGGGTTTAGCTCTGATTTTATGACGAAGGGTACAGAACAAGAATCCATGGCTCGATTAAAAAAACTCATGACAATGATGGACAGTATGAATGATTCAGGTTTGTTCATTATTTAAGTAAAACTAAAATCTATTGTTGCCTAATTAGATATGAAGCATAATTCATATGGCTGAGTCTTGAATTGCTTTAATATCTGTTGTTGCTTTACTAGCTATGAAACATTATACAGGAATCATATTTTATGTGTCTGAATAAATCTTTCCATTTGTCTGCTGCAGTAAAACAAATGGCTAGTTCAGCAAGGGGGAAATGAAATAGGTTAACTTTGTCAAAGTTTTCAGCAGAATAAATGTTAAAGATCTTTAAGCATTTAATATTTTTAAAGCTAATGGAAATTTATCATGATACTTGGCTAAGTACTTAGGTTGTGATATTTACTGATTTGATAAATACTGATTTGAATCTTTTCATTGTAGAATTGGACAGTGTGGAAGGTGAGAAATTATTTTCACGTCAACCAACTCGAGTGCAACGTGTAGCCAGAGGTTCAGGAGTGTCCATAAAAGATGTCAATGATCTGTTAAGTCAGTATAAGAAATTTGCTCAGATGGTTAAAAAGATGGGAGGCATCAAGGGATTATTTAAAGGTGGTAAAGGTAAGAGGAAAATTGTTCTTACAAAGTCACGAACGTAGAACTATATATTTCCATCTGCCTGTTAAATTCAGTACAGTCTATTTAAGATTTTGAAACTCTGGTGGTGGACATGACTGTTGACTTAGCAATTGATTTCAATGGTCTTGGTTTTAAGCTCATAACTGTATTGGATCTTAGCTCCACTAAAATAAAGTATACCTGATATCATTCCATAACAGGTTGGTCCATTCACCTTACCTGGAATAATCAATGCAATCCATGACCCCCAATATTGTTTTATGTAACTAAGCAAATAATTTTATGTCAACACTCTACCCAATTATGCTACAGCCAGTCCTCAAAGAGATCTAACCTTGCCTTGCATATCATTCTTTAAATACCATAATGTGTATTTGTTGTAGGAGGTGATATCAGTAAGAATGTTAACCCAGCTCAAATGGCTAAACTCAATCAACAGATGGCTAAAGTTATGGATCCCAGAGTTCTACAACATATGGGTAGGTATTTCCTTGTCAAAGGAAGTTTAGTTTCAGTCTAAAAGTTTGTCTCTCAAACATCAGTATTTCAACAATATTAGAATGTTATGTTGTTTGAAGAATCCTTTCAGCTATGACTTAGTAGATAGCAGGAAGAAAATTTGACTGATAGGGTCTTTATCGAGATGGGGACCATTGATTTGTACCCAGGATAAAAATTGCTAATATTAAAATGTACTCAGAATAATTAACATTATGGTATATTTCGATACATGGATTTCTAGCAAGGGTGAAATTGATGATTGATGAAAGGGTCTGATAAGTCATTTATAATCTTGTTTCAATATTTCTAGGTGGTATGCAAGGCCTACAAAGTATGATGAAACAGTTTCAACAAGGTGCTGGCGGCAAGATGGGAAATATGTTTAATTGATAGTACTGTATCATATTAGTTTGGAATAGAATGAAATATCAAAATGTGTTAAAAGTGGGCTAAATTATGGTGAATTCTGGAACTTTGGAAGGAAAAGATTAGTTAAATATTTTCACCTTCAAACTTGCCAGAAAATCATCTCTCTAGAAGCCGAATTTCAGGAATTTGCTAGTTTATCGAATTATAACATTAATAATAACCTTGTTAATATGACCAGAGCACTTTAGATTATCACTCTTTTGTAAATATTGCTGAATATATCTACTCTGGGGAGGGTGGTGGTAGAATGAATATTTCTGTTAACTGTTGAACGTAAGTAACAAACTGGCTTATATTCAAAACAGTTTAATGAAGGTTGAAAAATTTTTTCAAAGAAATAAATTCTAGTTGATTTATTTCATTCTATTTATTGTAGGACATGAGAAATACTATTTGTTAAATTTTGAATATTTTTTGTAAATATATGTACTGATTGTAATAAACTCTTTAAAGTATTGAAACATTTTGACATTTTGTAAGGAGCAAGCCATCCTACATTGTAACATTGGCTTGTAGGGCCTACAAGCCTACATTAGTATTCACCAGAAACTGAAAGTAAAAATTCACATTTCCAAACTGAACGAAAATAGAAAACTCAAAATATTTCAAAACTAGTTCTTAAACATGTCAGATTTCTATCTTAAAATCATAAATTAGCCTCAAGTCAAAGATAACAAGTTTATTTCAACTTCTGAACAATCACAGCATTGATTAAGTTGGCTTCTGTTATTGACTGATTTTCATCACTTAATTCCTTATTTGGAAAGGTTGTCATCAGGATAAAGTTTGAACCGGAATATTGGGATCGATTTGACACAATGTAACTACGAATGTCACTAACTTTATGAGAATGATTGAATTTCGCAATAAGTCTACTTCCATCTGCTAATCGGATTTGTAAACTTGTGGTTGGTTGACTGTCGTCCACAGTAACAGACGTAGCACCTGCAGCAGATGCCCCAGAGGTACTTGGGGCATTACTAACAACTTTTGGGGTGGGACTTCCGAGGGTGTGACCTTCTCCACTGAATGCTTTCACAGGAACTTTAGGTTTAACATAATCTTCATTTCGATGATCTTCCATGTTAAGACTGACTTCACCACCCTTTGCCATCGATATCAGATCTCTAGGAACTTCTCCTTTAGATACAGAATCTAGAAATTCCTTATTAGCAGGATCTTTAAAATCCCTTAGATGTCCATCATCAACACTGAATCCATTCTTCCATAATTTTAACACCATATCCACTTGACTTGGTGCACGCTTCATTGCAGCTCCTTGCACCGTCTCTGAATCACTTTCTGTCTGGCCAAGTTTATATCCAGTTCCACGAAATGTTGAAAATCCTGGTTTTCTGTCTTCAGCTTTATCTACAACCTCTGCACCATGATCTTTTGCAGATTTAAATAAATTCTCCACAACATTTTTATCCTTTTTCTTAGGGGGTCCAATAACTTGTTGACCACTTCTCTCTGATCCACCAGCATAATACCTTTGTCCCTCATCATCTGAGCTTGAATCACTTACTTCTCCCTGTTGGAAGCCTGCTATGGTACCAAATCGAGAGTTTATAGCAGGTTTACTCTTTTTCTCTTTGGTTTCCATGGAGGAGGTGGTGCCAGATGCTGATTGTGGTGTTGGTTGAGATTCTTGTAGAGCTTCTTCCATCATTTCTACTGGCATATCATCATCTGGATCTCCATCCTCAAAATAACTGGCCGTGGCCATTTCTAAGTTCCAGGCAGCAGATTCTAAATAGAATCTGGCCCTCTGCTCCTCAACGCCTGTCACAGCCATAAAATGTTGAATTTGTTCTTCTGGAGACGACATTTTCGTTTCAATTTCACTATATCATGAATTCAGAAATTTTTCAGAGGAAATGATCAACCGGAAGTTGTTTTTCAACAGGTGGAAACGGTAGACTCCAATGTCAAGACTTTCTTTCAAACTGGATAATCCCGTCTTCTGTTCGGGATCCTTCGTTTTTTAGACAAAATTAATCATAAAGTTCTTATTAAATTACATAACTCTATGACCCTAGACTATGCCATATTAAATTGTGTAGTTTTATAAATATAACATCATTGTATAATCCAAAGCTGAATTCATTCTATGATGTAGATCTACAGCTACAGTCCTCTGCAACAAAGGTTTTTGAAATATCACGCGGTATTGCCGAATGCGTAACGGACTTTGAGCCGGAAGTTATAAATTGGACCATAGTAAAAAAACAAATAAGTTGCATAAAAGCTCAAAGTCCGTGCGTTGACAACTTTTCAGGTATATATTTTAGCAAAGCTTGCATCTGAACTCTTCCTTAACATTGAGCAAGGTCACTAGGAAAGTAGGTTGTAGTTTGCAATGATGACAATTTTATTACATCTATTTAACTTGCTTGGGATATTAGGTAAAACATAAGAAAAGGATGTGCTGAATCAGTTAGCAGACGAATTATTATCGATTACAATTTACATCATTAATGGTCACTGCTGGATTTTGGTTGTTTTAGATGAGCAGTTGTCAATAGGCTAGAAGTATTGGATAGGCCATAGGGCTACAGCTTGTAGCTACCATCTACATTCATTCTATGACTATCTATTCTCAGAGTACTCACTATGCTAACTTCACCTTATCTTGTATTGAACATTTATCTCTTTATTTGTGACCTTGGCCAGTGCTTTACATAGAAGTTTTTAGGAACTTCTTCACTCTTAACACCACACTCTTACTACTCTTAGTAAAGAAAGAAAGAAAAGAAAAGTACTAGTAGGTCTTCTAAACTAAGATTAGAATTTAGTGCTAACTTGTTGGCCCTATGATCAAATATTTGTAATGAATTAATGTTTACCTTTTAATTAATTTCAGTTAGTAGTATTAGTCAAGATGTGGCGCCATTCTTTGAAAGCTGTTACCAGACTTGCAACTGCAAACATGGCTGCCAAAACATTGGTCAAATCTAATAGACTAACTGCTCCAGCTTTGTCAGTACCTAGTCAAAGATTTATGGCTCAAGCACAAAATGCTGAAAATCCACCAGCTCTCAGAGATGATATGAAGATAAAATGTCCACCCACTTTCAACATGGAAAAAATGACAGAGCTACTAGACCACGATAACCATGAAATGAGGAAGAAATTCCGCAAGTTTGTTAGTGACCCTGTTATGATACCTCGTTATAATTTGACACTCAGGGAAGAAAGAGACGTTGCGTTACAAAGACTACAAAGAATATGTGATGCTGGTTTAATTTCAGTCCTTGATTTTAAAAATAATCCATTGAGAATTTTCGCCGCTCATGAACTAGCATCTGTAATTGACCCAGCCATGACAACTAAAATGACAGTGCAATTCAATTTATTTGGTGGAACAATCTTAAAACTTGGAACCCAAAGACATCATGATAAATTGCTTAAAGGTAAACACAAATTTTCAAGATGGATAGTCTGTACGCTACCCAAGAGTTTTGTGCATGTGTTAATTTTTACAAAACAAACAGGAAATATGACTGTAGTGGTATGTTGATTTGTCAGTTACAAATCATAGATATTTATTACCTTAGTCTCTTTTACCATGTGTTCTTGAAATGATTAAAAGATTCAAATGTAGATGTGTTAGGAATTTATTGCTTTCTTTTTTATTCTGTACAGGTATAGATAATTTGAATGATGTGGGATGTTTTGGATTGACCGAACTCGGGTATGGGAACAATGCAGTTGAAATGGAAACCACAGCCACTTATGATTCTGCTACAAAAGAATTTATTGTGAATACACCTTCCACTCTAGCTCAGAAATACTGGATCACAAATGGAGCTGTTCACGCTAAACATTGTATTGTCTTCTCTCAACTTATTGTTGATGGCAAAAATCATGGTAAGTACTTGTATTTGGGAGAGATAATTTGTAATTAAGTTGTTCGTTCTAAAGAAGTTATTGTGCTTTCATTGATTCTCTCTTGAGCATTGAAGTTCTTTGATAGTATCCTAGGTTCTGTTTAAAAAATTCAAACCATGTTATGTTTAGTAACACTTGTAATTGCTGACATCCAAATGAAATGATAGATGAAAATGGCTTAGAAAAGAACAACGGTGATACTGGTCTTTTCAGAAGTGCTAGACTAGACACAATCATTAAGTTCTTTGATCTACTTCTAGTGGCTAAGACAAATTATATTTGGTAGTACTTGTTATTTGCTGACATAAACTTAATCAAAATGAATGATAGAAAAACCTTTGGCGATTATTATCTGGTCTTAAGTGCTAGCCATAATTTACAATTTTGACAGGAATCCATGGTGTATTGGTTCAGATAAGAGATGACAATCTGAAAGTAATGAAAGGTGTGAGAGTGGAAGATATGGGATATAAGATGTCTGGAAATGGAGTGGATAATGCCAAGTTATTCTTTGATAATGTCCGAGTACCGAGAGAGAATTTATTGAATCGCTGGTCTGATGTTTCTGAAAATGGGGAATTTACATCTTCAATTGAGGGCATAAGAAACAGGTGAGATCGATAATTCAATAATTTTTGAATTCAATATTTCCAAATTTTGTCTTAAATCCATGTTTTGTATATTTCACAATATTTTTGATTACTGTACACTGTACTTCAGCATAAATGCATAAACTTTTTTGTTACTGATCTGTTTTCACTTTTGTAGATTTTTAACAGTAGCTGATCAGTTGTTATCTGGACGAATCTGTATTGCTTCTATGGCACAAGGTGCCAGTAAGGCCTCTTTAACTATTGCTATGAGATATGCAGCTACAAGACTCACTGTAGGTCCTAAAGGTAACTACACCAAATCTTTTCTTGATTAACCCTTATAGATGATAGTAAAGGTGGGCAAAGAGGTGGTATGGTTTTTTGATACAATAGAAAGTAGAGGAAAACATATATATAGTAAATGTGGGCAAAGACATGTTATGATGTCTATTTCAGCATTGTTGTATTTTGTGTAGAAAAAACCAAATAGTTTGCATATTGCACACACATCCATTTAAAACCAAATATTGTAGTAATTTTTGAATTGTGTTTTTCTTCCCAGGTAAATCAGACACACCTATCTTAGCCTACCAATTACAACAACGAGCCTTACTGCCTTTATTAGCTAATACTTATGCTATCAATTTTGGACTAGATTATGTAAAGGATCGATGGGCATTCCAGAAAGAAGATGGCTCAGAACATCCTGAGGTGAGTCAAATTTCTGGTACTAGTTGATAGCCATCTGTCAGGAATGTTTGAATATATTAGATTTTTTCCATTGTACTATGCAAGTTAGTTTACTGCAGACATTACTGTTTCGGCAAATTAGTTATGTAAATTTTAATCTTTAACTGTCATTTGCTTTGTACTTTTTTCTCAAGAGATGCATCATCTTTAAGAAAGAAAGAATAAAAGAGCAATAGTCAATATTACTTAAATGATTATTTTTCTAGGTTGTAACAATGTGTTGTGTAATGAAGCCAATTGCCTCATGGAATACAGAAGAGGTAGCATCAATTTGTCGAGAGCGATGTGGAGGTCAAGGTTATTTATCATGTAATAGGTTCGGTGTGTTTATTGGTCTGGCTCATGCTGCCATGACAGCTGAAGGTGACAATAGGTAAGTGTTCTGAATTAATTAAATGAAATGGAGCTATATTTCTTATCTGCACCTGAATAGGCAAATGGAAAATGTCATGCAGTGTCCAATAAGGGAAATTTTGCTTAGACAGTAGCATTAGTCTACTGTTTTTTGATTGCCAACTGTCAGCACATTGGGTCCCAGCCTCCACAGAAACACCAGTGATAAAATTCACAATAAACCATTGATTTGATTGTCTTGTTCTAGTGTATTAATGCAGAAAGTTGCTAAAGAAAGACTGTCTGTATTTAAACCAAGAAAACTAGAAGCACCGAAAGAGGATCTGTCCAGTTTCGAGTATTTACAATATTTATTGAATCAACGTGAACAAGTTTTATTTGGAACTCTGGGAAAAAAGATGATGGAAGCAGGAAAAGCAGGAATCTTTGAAACTTGGATGTTAAAAGTAAGTATGTTATGAATAAATTCAAAATCTATGGGAGCATATTTTCTGGAATTTACAATGGTCAAAATATTAGTGTTTCTAAGATACGTTTACCAATTTGTTAATTTTATACATTTTCATAAAATGATCATCTAAGTCAGTTTTAGAAAAGTGTTAGTATGTGGTTGGAGAAAACTCAATGTGTTTGGTTATTTTAAAACAGTTATAAGAAAGGATTTAATGTTTCATTTTGTGTTTATTTCTGCAACTTACAAGGAGATTCAATCACAGGAAAGACATGAAACAAAACGTCCAGGCTATCATATAGATCAATATAAGGCATTTGTATGCAATTTATTTTGTAGGAAAGTGATTTAGTTCAGGCTGCTGCCAGGTCGTTTGGTGATAGATTGATTAGTGATCAGTTTGCAGCCAGATTATTAGATGCTGATAAATCTTTACAACCAATATTAACTCAGTTATATCATCTATATCTGATTAATATCCTCGAGAAGAACCTAGGGTGGTTTGTTACTTCAGGTGTATTACCTGTCAAACTAGGAGCTCAGGTGAGTTCTCTATCTTACTTTCCAGCTTCTTGAGAGGTTCTGTAAAACAGTCCCTTAGAGTATTGGCTTCTTTAGTTGACATTATTTGTTGGGTAAGTCTTAACACATGGTTGTAAAGAGTTCTGAATCTATACAGTCAAAATCTTTCCTCATTATTTCAGTTAACCTAGCTGTTAATGGGTAGGGATAATCCAGGAAAGATCAATTATATGGGGGTATGGCTAAGGACCAGTTGGTAGAAAGGATCCAAATTAACCTAAGAGGAAACTAGTGCAGGGACCATAATGATGAATTGACCACTCCAAAATTGACTCCTCACTTTAATTTGTTGTTGATTGCCAATGAGAATCAAGGAAACATGGTTTAAAGTACATTTGCTATAAGACTTGAATTTGGTACTTTAGCTTGTTGTAAATAAGAGTTTGGGTCATTATATTTTTCAGGTGAACACTGTAGCAGGTGATTTATGTCGTCAGCTTTCACCACAAGCTTTAAATCTATGTGACGGTTTTGCTCTGACTGATACAATGCTATCAGCTCCTATAGCTTTAGATTGGGTTGATTATAATGTTGGTGATAATCAAGGAGAACTGATTCCAGAAAGTCGACTTTAAATTCATTACTGTTTCTTATACATTGCAGTTAGTTAACAATATCTTTGCACCTTCTGGAGCGGTTTATTTGAATTTTGTTGACAAAAATTACAATACAAATCTGAAGGGATTTCTGATGGTTAAGATGCAAGAACTTAACTTCTTACGCAAATCCTAAGAGGCCTTTCAACCATAAACAGTATCTGTGAACGTCATTTTCACGTGGAATAAATAGTTATTGAAACCTTGGAGATCACATATTGTCATTTTTCTACCTCTGATAAGTTTTAGGCTTTGCTCCTTAATGCCATTGATAATGTTTGCTAAGTGTATATTACTGTTATGATTTGGCTGATTTATTATGAACATGGAATTATTGTTGGAGTCTGAATTATATATTTATTATAAAGTGCTAATGTTGTGTGAATGAATATTAATAGATCAAATAATTTCTGCACTGTTGTGCAAGATTTAGAATTCCAACATCAACATATTAACAAGGTAGTGTGTACGGATGCAGTCAAAATAGAAGCGAATATTCAAGGTGAAGGTTCAGCATTTATGGAAATTTTTTTTTGATAAATACAAATTTTGAACACAATTTACATGCTCATGCATCTGCTTAAATAACTTTCTTTGTTGCTCAACTGGATCAAGATGATGTTAAGAATTAATTTCTCTATTTTTATGAAAACAGTAGTTGTACATATTTAACAGTTGTATATTTTGTTTGTTACTTTATAAAATATTTAAATGACAGACCTCATTATTTAATTTCATAAAACCCATTGTGTTGGCAGATTTCCGTGGCAACTCAATGAAAATTTATTTCTATACTATTCTGTTCTATCCCAGTGTTACCTTGGCAAGAAGTTAGCAATTTCCATCCCTCACTCTACTCTATGATTATTTGGGTGACCTTGACATATTTAGTATGGTAATCAGACAACTTTTGGCAAAGGGTGCCATGCCATCAAATTATGAAGATAACCCTATCAATTCTGATGGCCTACAAGGCAACTGATTTGCATAGTAACCATGACAACAAAATACAACAGGTTTTTTTAGAAAGGATTTATTATATTGATGTATGAGAGGAGGGAATAGTGAAAGAGATGAGGAGAGGGGAAGTGAAGTGAGGGGGAGGGTAGATTTAGGGTAAAGTGCACTATATATTGTAATATTTAAACAAACATAAATTGTGTCTCATCTCAAGCCATATCACACTGATAACAATAAATTACACACAATTATCACACACATTTACACACGAACCAAAATCATAAATCCAAGTCTCTCAATATATTTTTGAAAGGCTTTCTGAAAGGTCAGTGATGACAAGCAGAAGACAAAGCCATATTAGACCCTATCCTTCAACTGCGTCAAGAATTCTTCTCCCATAGATTCACACTTCGATAATAAAACATATGCACAATAAATCCTAAATATTCCAGTGAAGCCACAAAGCATTCTGAAATTCTCTTTCAGTCACATTATTTAATTCTTATAGCATTGCAAAGAAACAAAACATTCTTATAGCATTGAAAACAAACCTAGCATTCTTCAAGCATTGCAAAGAAACAAAGCATTCCTTCATTCTACATAATTCAATCAAAATATATCATTTCAATCACAGTCATCATAATAATATTTCATTAATAACAGTTGCACAAATAGAGGGTAGGAAAGTTCCAGCGTTGGAAACATGAATATATAATATATTATTCTGGGCTATTTACATATCTAAGGTTGATAAGGTATTCAAAACATCCAATACTCTAAATGACAGAATATGTTGTAGTTTTTGAAAGGCTAATTTTTTCTACTAGGCCAAAACCATAAAAATTCTTGCCATACCAATTTCCATACTTTGAAATAAACTGTTTTTGACTGCCACATTTACAGCAACTTGGACCATGGATGTCCCTTAAGATATTAACTGGTAACTACTGCTTTTGTTGTGAAAATATTAAAAATTTGGTCTTGGTGAAAGGGCTGATTCCTTATACAACTGTTGGATTTGCCCAATCAACAGTCACAGTAGAGAAGTATTTGTAGTTAAACACTAATACCAACATCTAAATCAAATGTGAATAAAGCTTTGACAGTCATGTAACAGATACCCCTTTTGTAACGAATAGACAATCCCACAAGGCGTAACATTGTGTGAACAGAGATTGGAAAATGCATGTTTGGGAGAGTCTTACAATATTTTAAGGGGTATCTGTCACCTGTCATGTTTTCTAACATAGCAAAATAATTCTACATTTAAAACAGAAATAACAATTTTCAGCTTTCATTCTCTCAAAACGCAAACAAAAGAAAAATTATGACACAATAACAATGATTTGCTTGCCTTTAAAAGAAATTCAACAAATTCAAATAACAAAACATTCAAATGAGGTGATTCAACAATTCAGGCAAGAATCCTTAAAATGGAAATTTAAAATAAAGTTAGATATTAACTAGAGGTGGTTGCCTTCATTGCTTTTTCTTATTGTGGAGTCAGCAAAGATATTTGTGCTCATCAATTCGAAACGTACACATGAACAGTCCACTTCATTTCAAGGTAAAAAAAGTATTAGTGAACACAATGAAAGACAAACTTATATTGTGTTCATTACTACTTAAAATACCTATTAAAGATAAGGTTATGCTTATGTTTAGAATTATCTGAAAATATCTTAACTTAACATTTTCACTTTCAAAAAATATATCCTATGAAAAAGAAATTGAAGTTAAATTCAAGCCCATACCATCAATAAAAATAAATATATTTATAATTTACAACATAAAACAACAAATATGGATTTATATAACATGAAAACAAGAACAATAACTTAATAATACAAAAAATATTTACAATGACATATATTTTTAACATAGATTTTTTATATGAATATAATATATATATTTTGTAATTAATATTTCTATAAGGGTCGAGGGATATACAAGAATTTGTTTTTAAAACTAAGCCAGGAGGCTCTATCACATATTTTATGTCTTGAAAGTATAGAAAAATCATATGCCTTTTTAAGAATTTTTGATTTTTAGTTAGTTTAGTTTTTTTCACACCAAAATGCTGCAAATTTTCTTCTTCAAAACAGAAGAATGAATTTTGCTTTGTGAAAATCTGGTATATGTTTTTTTAATGCTATACTCTTTTTAATATGCTTTGTAACATCTGAATGAGTACTGCAATCAATGCATATATTAAGTATGGTAACCAAAAGCTAAATTAATGAATTTCTTACTCTCCAAACAATACAATTGACAGGTGCAGATTAAATATTACAGGTGCATATTCTAATTTACAGGTGCATGTACAAACAATATTTATAAATAGAATTATGTTTGCATGATTTAAATATAATACTCGAAGATATAATGCAGTTATAATACTCTCTGTTATAATTTCCCATGTAAACTTCCCACTTTAAATACATTAAACTTCTCTCCATAGGTTCCTTTTGCCAAGTATCAAACCATATCTTTGAATCCATTCAAAATTCTTAGATAAAATCTAATAATAATCTTAAAATTTATTAAATGTATTACCAAATCCTTTTAGATCCTTTACAACATCCTCAAATTTGCTGTATTACTGTCTCACTAGTTTTGTCATTATGGATATATTTGCACTTTATTTGATCTGGGTTTTGCTTTGATCCGTGATGTTTCAACTATCATACTGAAACAATTAAGATAACTTTCAAGATCTTCTATCAAAAACTAAATAGAAGCCCTTAAATCTAAATAAAGATTTCTTGTTTTTATTTGAAATTCACATTTTTTCCTTGATTTAGCTAAGTCTTCATGAGATTCATCAACAAGTCCAAAACATTCCTAAAATTTGAGACAAAAACATCTGAAAAATTCCTGTTTTATTCCTGAACCACTGAATCAGAATTGGGTTTTATTGAACAAGAGCAAAAGACACACATTTACTCTCCCAATTTAGATCAAGATTTAGAGCGAAAATTTGAGATCCATCCATTCAAATATAACTGTTTCACTTAAAAACTCTAATTATATGTGATGTTAAGATGGATTTTTTAAAATACGATGCTGTCTAAAGTCATAAACTTGTCGGCATAGAAACACATTATCTGGGTTCACATCAAGAGGTGGTAGCCTCTTTCTTTTAGTACCATTTTCTTCTAATTTGGGCACCACGTTTGGTCGCGGAGGCAAATGAGATTCTACCCTACGCTGTTCAGCTTTCAATCTGTAAATAAACAAATACATCAAAGTTTCATGGATATCTTAAAGTTATGAGTAGAGCTGTAAAAAGGGAAGTTTTAGTCTGTTCCAGTTCAAACAGATACAAAGAATTGTGAGTCTTGTCTCCAATCCAAATGAAAAATAATATATCAATTAATATAAATAATAACATTCATTCATATCAATAGAGAGATTAATCCGTCTTTTATGAACTGTTATCTGATTTTTTTTCACTCTTAACATTCAGTTTAACCACTACTTTTAGGCAGCCGCCCCCACCTCACAGCCCCAAAAGCAAGTTTTTCAGGCAAAAATATCATAACTAGGTTAAAGATTCGGGCAATCTCAGATATCTTGCCCCCCTCGCCCCCTCTCGGACTTAAACCTGGCTCTGCCACTGCTTTTAGACTATAATATACATAGTTCAAAATGTACAATAAATCAGTGTATACTTCCACTTTAAAGTAATATTTGGCTGGAAATAACTACCTGCAGTATTCATTATAAGTTAGAACATAACCCTTGTCATCAATACAGGCTACAGAATTCTCATCACGATGTTTACAGGCAAACAGTTCATTATCCAGTTGACCTGGTTTACGACCAGCTTCTGTATGTTCTGGTCTATAATACCATAGTAGCGACATCATTATCTCACCTAAAAATAAAACATATGACCATTATAAAGTTCAAAGAGAAGTAAAAATATCACAGGTGTCTAAACCTTTACTAGACCAGATAATAGAGCTCAATATTGGTGAATTTGGACACAGAAAAGTGCAATGGATAGCTGAAAA